ACTAAAATTAAATTAATTAATTAATTATAACTAAATTAATATAATATAACTAAAATTAAAATTAAATTAAATTAATTATAATTTCCCACTCAATAATATAACTGTTACATGTTATATAACTGTTACATAACATGTAACAGTTATATTGTTGAGTGGGAAATTACAACTAACAATTATATAAATGTTAATTATATAAATGTTACTTGGTGTTTGCCAAGTTTGGGAAATGTCAATAACAAAAAAAATCTTGATTTGCTAAAATAAAGTTCATTTCAAAGTCCGTAAAATGTTTTTAGTATGTGTATGATAAAACGCAATAATAATATAGAAAAAATGTCAAATTAAGTATACATATATAAAAGTCAATTGCTTTGTAAAGAAGATTCCAAATCATCACTTCATATTACCTCTCATAGCTTCTTATTACGTTTCAGATTTCAACGAAGTTGTTGAACAATAAATGTGTCACGCGATCAAATTGAAATCATGACCGTTAATAATTTAGGAAATTATGCCTTTCTCCTCTTACCGTTGCGTTCAAAAAAAAAAAGATCTTAATCACTGCTGTTGCCATCTGGCGTGGATATAATTTAATATATATCAATAATTTGAAGAGTTACATTATCGACAAGATATAATTCCAAGACCGAGTGTTGATAATGAAGAAAATAGTTTATGTACGCACCAATTGAAGATACACAAATATAAATTGAAATCAAAATATAAATTCAATATAAAATTTATATATTTTGACTATATATTATACGATATATAATATTTTTGTAGAAAATGTTAAATGATCTAAAATAAATTTAATAGCTTAATTAGCTTGGCAAATTAATTGGAAAATGATTATGACATTATTTGACAAATATATGCTACATAAATAAATAAATCTGTGCTTCAAAAATATATATTAATTCCAGAAATATGAGAAATCAACACACAAAACATATAACTTATCTTTCTTTTATACCTAGGTAGAACATGAAACATATAACTTATCTTTCTTTTATACCTAGGTAGAACATGAAACTCATAATGACATCATTATGATGTCACCTAAAAGTCACCTGAAAGTTTTTAGAAAAATCGTAATGATCTCATTTGATATACTTTCGGCAATGTTTTGGTGACTTATTAATATCATTTTTATATATATTACGCAGTTACTTGTTTATTTAATTATTCATGTATATTTTAAGTATATTTAAGCAACATAATTAACCTTTTTAAAATTATATAATGCGATTATTGAACTTAAAAATTTATGATTCTTTTTGTCATCTTTAACTCATTTTTTAATCATTTTTGTTTAGGTAAGTTTTAAGTAATAAATAAAATCATGATGATGTCATAATGATGTTATTATGAATTTCATCTTCTACCTGATGGGTAACAAAAAATATGGAGTGATTCCGCGATCAACCGACTGATTTCGCGCGTGATTCGAAATCTACAAAGGCGCTACCTAACATATCAAACGAACTAAAATCCCTTCTCAAGGAAGAAAAAATGAAATTGCAATTATCTATGATGTAAGAAAACATCATAAATTTATAAAAATATAATATTAAAAAGTTATAATATTAAAAATATAATATTAAAAAATATTAGATAATATTAAAAAATTATAAAATTTTATAATATTAAAAAATATAATATTATAGTATAATATTTTAAATTAATTAATTTTTAAAGTATTAATTTAATATAATATTTTAATTATTAATTTATTATATAATATAATATTTAATTATTAATTTATTAATTAATATAATATTTTAAATTATTAATTTAGTATATTTTAATAATTAATTTTTAAATTATTTTGAAAATTTTCTTATATCATGGAGATACTTAAATCGACGAAACAATCTTTTCCAATTTATAATCACTCACTGGATACATTAATAGCAATAAATAATTAAAACAATAAAATAATTAATATTACGAATTATCATATTCGTTTTGAGTACTAATAATATCAATTGTAGTAATATTTCTTTTATCATTTATTTAATTACTTTTATAACGCTATTATCATTTACATGTAAATTAATACCAAGGAAGCAGGATTTTATCGATTGTTGGTCTAAAATTCGCGTCACAAGGTTCACGTTATACACATGTGACTTTTGTCTAATATCAGAGACACAGATTAATAGACAGATAGCCAATGACCTGGATAAAAACCAGACCGTCATTTATGTGCCACAGACTTTGCCCCTTATCGACACACTTTGCCCCTGGTTCGAGTCCGTGCTAAATTTCGTTGACTTTACCAAAAGACTTTGCCCCTGGTGCGAGTCTAGGCTAAATTCCTTTGATTTTATCAACAGACTTTGCCCCTGGTGCGAATCCAGGCTAATCGATTATGAGATGAATGAGAGGTGAGAGATTTGGCCCGTTCGCACTCATTCACCAAAGATGGACAAAAAATTGTTATAAAATTAATATTACTTGATTGCTCGAATAATTAGTAATCAATTTAAAAAATTATTTATACTTTGATTACTATCAGTAATTAAAGTAAATAATTATTTGATTATTTGGATAATCAGTAATTAAAGTGAAAATTTCAGAATCAAACTTAAAAATTTTTTAATTATTCAGTAATTATATAAGATGAGATTATATCGAAATTTAATTTTTCGATATAACTTTTAAATGTGTATGAGGCATAAAAAATTTGTTTGGATATTTCTCTCTCCAAGACTTTTAAAGTTGGAATTCTCAATTCTTTAATTAAATTTTGACATAACGCGCCTTACATCCGTATGACTCACATAGCCCATTTATTTCTTAGTGCAATTTTTAGTTATTTAAGTTTTTTATTTTTCATAAAGTTTACCTTTTCATTATCATCAAATATTTTTGGTACATATTTTCAAAAATTTTGTATTTTTATTTACCGCAGTTTCTTATGCAAATGTCAAATCTTTTATCAATCTTTTGTGGACAACGAAACAATTTACAATTTTATGATATGATATTATTACAATTTCTATATGCACATCTATCGAATATTTTGTGATTTTCTTCACGCATTGTCATCTATTTTAATGCAAGAAAAACGCTTGCAACAATCAAAAACAAACTACCTATCACAAACGGAAAATATCGAGAAAGTACGCAATTTTTGCGAATTTCGATTTTTTAAAAAAATCTACAATTTGATTAAATTATAGATTATTCAAATCACTGCATAAGTATATAATTCCCAATAATAATTTTCAATAACTACGATAAAAAATTGTTTACTGAAAACTGTAAGCAAAAGTGCAATGGAATAAAGTCTGTGAAAAAATAAGCGAAAAAATAAACAAATAGACAATAGAAAATTAATAATTTTTAAACAGAAAATTCTTTTCTTCTAAATTTTAAACAGAAATTATCGACGATTACAAATTATAAAGTATAAAAATAATCCATTTTCAAACTTTACTCGCGGAAAAGATCTTTGAAACAGGAAGAGATAAGATCTTTAAAGAAGCGGAAAGAATAAGCGTCGGAAGAATTAAAGCGCTGCGTTTTAATAGATTAATGCACAATGAAATTGACACGCAATTGTTTTGCCTTATCTCGGCGAGCTCGCAAGAGCTTCTGGCGTTCTTAAGCCAGTAGAAATAGTAAAAAAAGTAACAATAATTTCAAATGTCCATAAACCTTTTTATTGCGTAGTTTTGTTAGCAACATAATATATCTCATTTTGCTAACTTCCTCGAGGTCCGCAAAATTAAAAAAAAAACGAATTTGCAAAATTTGTTGCCACCTTACGTACAAAATTGCAACTAATTAGCAAACTTGGGGAAATGTTTAATCGATGGTTTTTTGCTGTTTATTAAATTTGCTAACCATCCCAGTGTCCGCAACATTGAAAATTGTTAAAAATTAGTATTTTTGTTAATAAATATTCCGCAAAAATATGTAATGTTTTGCAAAAGTGTTAGAATTTTTTTAAAAATATGCGAAAAGATTTGTAAAAATTTGCGAACTCGTAAGTTGCACGCAACACGTATATATATATAAACGTTATTTAAATTGTTTATTCGACTGTATTTCCGCCAAAAAATTGCAAGCGTTATGAATATAGATAACAAATACTTAAAGCATTTTATGTCTCGTATTTTCAAATTTGCTAACTTCTTCGAGCCCGGCAACATTATTAAAATTTAACAATTCCGAAATATCTCTCGCAATAAATTTCTTTTTCACTTAAGAAAAAGCAAAAAATTTTAAAAATTATCCGATTTATGTCCCCAGATAACAAAATCGGATAGAGCACGTTTTGCAATTTATATGCTGCATACTATGAATGCAGAATGCTGTCAATATTCTAGCAAAATATGCCGTTTCAGTTAATGTTGTCAGAAACACGCTATATGAGATATAACTATGATATAACATATTACATATATGTCATTTTCTAAGAAAATTCTAATTAACTTGCCGATAATATTGTTATTTAGCACCTGTAATAATCCATTTTGTTGCATTTATATAACATTAATAAAAGTAAGCGCAAATCTTGTGAAGTTTCTGCTGTCAATTTGTCATCAGGTTGCATGCGCAGATTCTGCTCGATTTCTGCTGACAATCTAACATCAAATTGCACGCGCAGATCCTGCTCGATTTCTGCTGTCATATCATGACGGCACACTGTGCTTCATTTCTGCTGCATTTCTGCCCTCACATCATATTGGCACATCGTGTTGGGAAAACAGAAACTTAATGAGGACACAGTTGAGCGATATCTGCTGCAAATTCATGATTGAATCTGCTGTTATACTGCTAGCATACTGCTAGCATTTTGCTATCTGGGATTATTTCTATTTTGTAAATTTAATTTAATTTTTTAATTGCTTTTTTAATTGTTTTCTGTGTACATTAGTTATTACTCAACATGAGTGAAAAGAGGAGGATGGAGAGGTGGATGGAGAGGAGGATGGAGAGGAAACTGGAGAGAGGACAGTACAGGAAACTGAAGAGGAGGATGGAGAGGTGGAAGAATGGCCTTGTAAGCGAGAAATTACTCAATTTACGTTGCGTCCCATTTCATAATTATTTGCTTTGTGCTAGTGTTGTGATGTGCAATGTATTAAGGAAACTTATAAAAATGGACGGATACTAAGTTGTATAAGGAATAAACTTTAGAAAGTAACATTTTCCTCTCTTTTCGACATGTCAAACCGCATGTTTTTTCGCATTTTCAAGGCTTCATTCTCAGATAGCAAAATAGAATAGAGCAGGTTTTGCAATTTATGTGCTGCATACTACGTCAGCAGAATGCTGTCAATATTCTAGCAAAATATGCCGTTTCAGTTAATGTTGTCAGAAACACAGCAAAAGTTGAGCATAACGTACGTTACGATGTAATGATAGAAATGCAGCAGAAATAAAGCAGAGTTTTACCAGCATAAATAGAACAATTCAATGCTGGAATAATGTGTCGGCAGAATGCATACTGAGAGTACGCATAATCTGTTGTCACAGTGTAATAGCAAAATCTCATCAGAAATATCAAATTTGTGCAAGCACGCTATGACAGAAAAAACACAGCAGCAATGCAGCATGCTCTGCCGTCATACGATGACATTTAATTTTTAAAATACAGGATCTGTGCGACGCAATTTGACAACAGATTGTCGGCAGAAATCGAGCAGGATCTGCGCATAATCTCTGATAGCAGATTGATGACAGAAACGGAACAAGGTTTGCATGATTCGATAGTTCCTTCACTTACCGCTACGTGAGCTGTTTTTTCTCGTAATTGAATTTCTGTCAGAAATATATATAAAGTCGCGAATATGAATAAAAGACTAAAAATATAGTAATTATCATTTTAATTTCTATCACTTTAATTTCTGATATCTGATACAAGCAAATGAGAGTCAGAATATTAAACTGATTGGAATCAATATGATAAATTGAAAATTATTCATATACTGCCTATTTGAGGCATAAAGCAAGAATTTAATTCTAAATAAATTACATCTCAAGTTTTACAAGTTACATTTACTTTTATCATTTACTTTATTATTAATTTAATTAAATTGAATTAGTCCTTCGCTATATGAGATATAACTATGATATAACATATTACATATATGTCATTTTCCAAGAAAATTCTAATTAACTTGCCGATAATATTGTTATTTAGCACGTGTAATAATCCATTTTGTTGCATTTATATAACATTAATAAAAGTAAGCGGAAATCTTGTGAAGTTTCTGCTGTCAATTTGTCATCAGATTGCATGCGCAGATTCTGCTCGGTTTCTGCTGACAATCTAACATCAAATTGACGCGCAGATTTCTGCTGTCATATCATGACGGCACACTGTGCTTCATTTCTGCTGCATTCTGCCATCATATTGGCACATCGTGTTGGGAAAAAAGAAACTTAATGAGGACACAGCTGAGCGATATCTGCTGCAAATTCATGATTGAATCTGCTGTTGTATTGCTGGCATATTGCTAGTATTTTGCTATCTGGGTTTCGGACTCAATTTACAGCTATTTATAAATTGTGAAAGGAAAGAATTAGTATCCGTCCATTTTTACAGATGTGCTGAAGAGATTGGTAGTCTTATTTCATTCAAATATGTTTTTATTTAGATGTCAGTATAAATCTGCAATATAAATCTGGGTATCCTTTCTCGCTTATGACGTCACTGATATATACTTTTACAAACTAATTAGATTTCAAGATGGCCGCGGTGACTACTCCGAAGCCTTAATATCAATTATTAGCACATTAGAATTAGTATAGTCAGAAAAACAACTAAGATTTCAACGGAAACTGATTAAGTGCAAACATTTACAAAAAATGCAAATTATATTTGGAACAATTTTATGTATTTTATTGAAAAGTTTAGTACTGACCAGAGCAACTATGACGTTTATGCCGAAAACTTATACCACTTCAAACATTCTTCAGAAAGAAAATATTTCCATGTTTCCGGCTTTAAATTTTACGCAGGTAAGAGATATTTTTCGTTTGATTAAGAAACAATTGAATGTTATTGCAACTAGTAATTCATAAATGAATGATAATAAATTATATATACTCTATCTATCTATCCCAGATAGCAAAATGCTAGCAGTATGCCAGCAGTATAACAGCAGATTCAATCATGAATTTGCAGCAGATATCGCTCAGCTGTGTCCTCCTTAAGTTTCTTTTTTCCCAACACGATGTGTCAATATGATGTGATGGCAGAAATGCAGCAGAAATGAAGCACAGTGTGTCGTCATGATATAACAGCAGAAATCGAGCAGGATCTACGCGTGCAATTTGATGTTAGATTGTCAGCAGAAACCGAGCAGAATCTGCGCATTAACAGCAGAAACTTCAACAAGATTTGCGCTTACTTTTATTAATGTTATATAAATGCAACAAAATGAATTATTACAGATGCTAAATAACAATATTATCAGCAAGTTAATTAGAATTTTTTTAGAAAATGACATATATGTAATATGTTATATCGTAGTTATATCTCATATAGTGAAAAACTAATTCAATTTTTCTTTTATTCATATTCGCGATTTTATATATATTTCTGACAAAAATTCAATTACGAGAAAGAACAGCTCACGTAGCGGTAAGTGAAGGAACTATCGAATCATGCAAACCCTGTTCCGTTTCTGCCATCAATCTGCTATCAAAGATTGTGCGCAGATCCTGCTCGATTTCTGCCGACAATCTGTTGTCAAATTGCGTCGCACAGATCCTGTATTTTAAAAATTAAATGTCATCGTATGACGGCAGAGCATGCTCCATTGTTGCTGTGTTTCTGCTGTCATAGCGTGCTTGCACAAGTTTGATATTTCTGATGAGATTTTGCTATTACACTGTGACAACAGATTATGCGTACTCTCAGTATGCATTCTGCCGACACATTATTCCAGCATTGAATTGTTCTATTTATGCTGGTAAAACTCTGCTTTATTTCTGCTGCATTTCTATCATTACATCGTAACGCACGTTATGCTCAACTTTTGCTGTGTTTCTGACAACATTAACTGAAACGGCATATTTTGCTAGAATATTGACAGCATTCTGCTGACATAGTATGCAGCACATAAATTGCAAAACGTGCTCTATCCGATTTTGCTATCTGGGTATATATATATAAATTAGGAATGATATATATCAAATCAGTATTATTAACCCAACAAATAACGAATGACAATTTTTCGTTTAATTTTATTATTTATACATATAACTTATCATTAAAAACAACAGAAATAATCACGTTTCTGCTCCAATAATACTCACTCAATTTTTTTTGTGTTATACTTTATGAAGAATATTTCAATGTCTGAGAAAAGTGATCATTATATACTAAATTTCAAATCTGATTGGAGTCATTCTGATAATATGACTATGAGAAGTGAGCGAGAAGTCGGTGGAGTTCCATTTGCAAATATTTCTATCACCCCAGAACCTATCAGTAAGTTGCAAAAAAATGCGTAAAATAAAATGCATTAATAATAAAATCTACGACAAAAAAATTATAAGTATAATTTAAATTCAAATGAGAATAGAAATCAAATTTAAAGGTATCTTCTAGTAGTGAGAAAAATATAAATTTTATTCTGTTGAAAAAGAAATAGAAAATCATAATATTGTAAAAATAATATTGTGAAAATCATAATATAAACATAATATTGTAAAAATTTTCATGATTTAAGATAAGGTCAATATATATTTTATGAATTTGCTATTTTGTTTTAAAGCAATCGCAAATATTATACTTCTGATTTTTTAAGCTATAGGAATTTTTTGAAAAGTATGACTTATCATTTTATAAAATTATTTATTAAGTTATTTATTGGTTTTTGCTATTGGATTAACAATTACTTTCTAAGTTTTAAATGACGGAATATTTTTTTAATATTATTTTATTTTTTTAAAGATCAATACTAATTTTATAATATACATTTATTTTTTTTCTTTTCTTAATTTTCATATTGAATTATTCTTTCTGATTTATTGAGATAATTCACTTAATTATTATATATTAATTTTATATATAATTATGTTAATATGTACGATCTTAATATCTCTAGAAAGCAGTTTGAGCAAGCCAAAATCTTTCAGAGCATTTGTACAATTCGGCAATCAATTCACAAAAAAAAATATTTTTGTGACATTAAGGTAAAAAATCTAAATTCTCAGTTTGTATTCTTTCATTTTTCTTTCTTTTCCTTAAATTCAACGACATAAAAAGATTAATTATGTTATAATTTTACTAAATATAAAAAAACTGAAATGTTATTCTTTTAGATGGAACCAACCTAACTTTACCGATGAAATAATACAAGGGTATACGGTGCAGTGTTTTTTCATCGAGGATTTAAAAGAGATTGAAATCTGTGAGGATAAAAATATCACCACTACAGAATTGGAGCACACGGTTCACAATCTAACATTTAACACGACATATTATTTTCGAGTACGTGCGCATACTAAAATTGTTGCTGGACCTTACACGGATTTAATCAATGTATCGACTACACATGAAAATCCAATACCTAAATTATTAGTAATGAATCAAGATATCCAAATATGGGACGTGGATGTAAACAACTTTACTACACTTTTATCGCAAGAGTACGTATACGGATAAAAAAAATAGTTATAATTATCAAGTTATTTTTGATACTTATAAAGTTAGATATTATTGCGATGTACAAGTTTATTATTATCAACATTATAGTAATAACTATAAAAATAGAAATTTCAACTATAATTTTTTTACTATACAATTGTAGTTGACTTTCTTTTTCAGTCAGATTAAATATTGGAACAGTTTCGCTTACTCGATACAAGAACAAAGAATTTATTGGCATGACGGAAAAGAACTAATGACATTGGAGATTAATGAAAATAAAATCATAAAAATAGCTAACTATTTAAATCTATTTGGTCTCTGGATTGATTGGGTAACAAGAAATCTGTATTTTGTAAATAATAAATATGACGGCCAATATGTTTTAAAGTTTGACTTAACAATGTGGGAAAATGGCATAAGTAAATTTGATGTGATTTTGCAACTAAAAAATGATTTTGAAATAAAAACCACCAGAGATATTGTTTATGCAAATATGTTTCCGTATGTGAGGTATGTTTACTACCATTCACCTAAAAAAATAACTTTCTATTAAAGATTTATGCAAATTTGTAATTTTTCTATAATTTTACGTGGTTTTATAATTAAGATTATAAGTAAAAAAAAATAAGTTATTATATAATTATAAGAATTTCGAATTTTTACTACATATAAGTTTTTATATTTGTTAAAATGTTTTATAATGAGTAAAATAATTATATATTTTTTAGAATTGGATATGGCCTATTGTATAATTCGAAAAATATGCAATTCGATATGATAAAATTTTATCTCGATGGAAAAAATGAGCAAATTGTTCCGATAAATTTGTCTATTATGTATACTTGCGCACTTCAATTGACCGTAACAAACATCCTTCACTTAACGATGATTGATGACGTGAATAATGAGAACCCATTAATTTACTGGTTAACTTCCAATCACTTAATTGTGACAGACATTAACGTTTCTATGTGCAATACGATTTTACACAATAAAAACATAAGTGATGACACGTTCTCATTCGCAACGATTGACAAAACATACATTTATATTTCAACAAATAATACGGATCGATATTTCTATCGTTTGGAAAAGAAATATGCAAGTCTCAATAGCGTAAATGCAGACAAATATGTTGAAAAGATAATAATAGGCCAACAAAAAATTAACAGAGTTACAATTTTTCCTTTTGATCAATCTTTTCAACCATATCCTCCAATAAGATGTCTGACACCTGACGAAAAATATGTGTATATTGAGCATATGAGTGCAACGAGAAACAGCATCCTTCTAAGTATTCAGAGGGCGTTTGTAAAGAATGGATGCGAAAAATATAATTTAGCAACTACTATATATACTATCTCTGTAAGCTGTTTAGATAACAATCTCAACGAGTCTGAAAAATTCAATGTGTCAACGAGCGAGGATTATTACGAGATTCAGGACTTAACACCATTTACGGAGTACAAGTTGAAGCTAACTTTAAGCAGTTTTTACTATGATCAATTATCAATAAATCCATCGCATGAGACACAAATGAAAACTAAATCGGGCAAGCTTAATGCACCAGAAAACATAAGTGTTTTAGCTTTGACGCCTACTCTAGCAGTAGTTTATTGGATGCCACCCAAGAAAGTGAACTGCATAGCCGTGACCTACGAAGTGCATTGGAAGTTAGTGAACGACACGCAACAAAAGAGCAAACAATTTACCAATGTGTCGAAACGTATGGCAGACGGCAAATTTTTCACAAAGATTAACTTGTCACTACCAGTACAAGATTACTTGATATACGTACGTGTATATCCAACTAATTTCAGTGATTTCTACAACGAAAGTTTGAGCAAGATAGTTTACTCAGAACCAAACATTATTATTTTGAGCGAGGTCAACACAAATAGCATGAACATTTCATGGATCTCAAACATTAATCTGACGATCTTTCTTACACTACAGTATAAAGATATTGCAGCAGAAGAGTGGCAAGCAATGAATTCTATTAAAATTAATTATAACCAAGAAGTACTATACCATATTAAAAATTTGCAATCGGGAACTTCATACATGTTTCGTTTGATATTGAGATATCTCGAATATGAGGAAACTTTTATATGGCCGGCTGATGAAAGATTTATTTTTTCAACACTTGGTAAGCAAATGAAGGTATCTATACAGCACAATAAGGTTGCAGATATATTAAAGAATAATTTCATTGAAACATTACAATATTGCAAATCGATTGCGAAACTTTACTGAGTTATTGTTATAAGATGACAACGTTAGGATGTTCACTTTTTGTAATATTGCAATGAAATATACATTATAACAACGTTGCAGTATAATATATTCGAAAGAATGCAATATTATTGCAACCATTTAATAATATTATGTATAAAACACACTAGTCAAAAAAAATAGGGAACACTTTTTGAACACTAAAAATTGAAAAATTGGGCTACGCAATTGAAAAGTGCAAAAAAATTAAAAAGTGTTATAGTTTTAAAATGTTTCTAAAATATAAATATCATATTGCTTATATCTAACTAATATTTTGTTAATTTATATTTCTACAATGTTTCTGTAATGCATATAATTTATTACGTTTATAAACGTTTATTATTACGGTTACGTAATAATATAAACGTAATAATAAACCTAAGATAATCATATTTATGATAATATATGGCAAAATTATATTTAAACATAATCATATAACATAAAACATTATTATATAATTACTAATTTTTTTTTAATCAGAAGTGGGTTTAAAGATAAAAATCCAACAATAATAATTAGAAACACTATAAAACATCATATTTTTTATACAAAATTACTTTAAACTCTTACTTATGAACCACTTTTTTATTTTAAATGTTCTATATACTCTTATAATGGGTACTTTATACACATATAAATATTAATTGTAGAATTAATTAAACATTAATAGTTACATTTTTATTAAAAAATTTTTTTAATTTGTTATTATTATATATATTTACATTTAAAAAATACATAAAAATACATAAAAAAATATAATAATAAATATAATAGTATCTATTCTTAATATAATAAAAAGATATATTATATTATCCTTGAAGATTAATATCGTATTCGTACATGAAGTGAAAATATATCATAAAATATATTGCAACATTGAAAATGTTACCTATATTTTAATAAAAAAATAGCAATGCTTATCTTTAGTTTAGAATCATACTTACTCGACTGATATTATTTCTGTGTTATTAATTTGTTTGACTTTTGCAAAAAAGTAAAATTCATCTCATATATACAAATATAAAAAAATATATTATTACATTATTTTTTTAGATAAATTAAAGAGTGTTATAATTTTCCAATGTTTTGAAAATATAAATATCATATTGCTAATATCTAATTCATACTTTGTTAATTTATATTTCTACAATGTATGCGTAATGTTGCATTGCAATTTGTAATATTGCAATATTGTTGCAAAGTAGTTGTAATATTCTGTGCTGCATAGATAGATTATAATATTATGTAGATATGAATAAGCCATAATATTTATAGATATGAATAAGCCTAAAATTTAAAGCAATTAAGTTTTAGTAATAAAGTTACAAGTAAAAATAAATTTGTAAAAATATACACATAGGAAGATATTAAAATTATATTTTTGCTTAATACAGATATTTCGGACATTCCTGGAATAGCGAAAAAATATTACTTATTATTGATGTTAGGTTTTATCGTTATTATAGGTTTTATAGTTATTATAATCTGCCTCTGCTACTTTTATTATTGTAAGTATATTTGATATAGATATCAACTTGAATTGTAGATTATACATATATGTATATCTGATATAATATTGAAAAATTTACTGAAAATAGTTTACTTATATACTGAAAATAATTTACTTATATACTGAAAATAGTTTACTTATATACTGAAAATAATTTACTTATATAAAAGTAAACGAAAAAATTTACTAAAAAGCGAAAAATTTTATAATACATATTATTACATTTATAATTATTACATTTATAATACATATTATTGCATTTATAAGTCGAAATTTTATAATATAGTGAATCGTCAACGCAGAAGTAATAATGAACAATTTTTGTCTTCAACAATGACCGGTACAGAAATGGAGATTCTACCAGTACTTTACCGAAACGTTGAATGCAATACGATTTACAATTCTACGTTACATTATAATCCGGATGAATGTGCGATAACTAAAATCGCACGTAAACAGATTATATTTGGAAAAATTATTGGTAGCGGCGCATTCGGAGAGGTAAAAATTAATGTTTTCAAGCAATGTTTCAATTAATTTCTAGATCAACAAAACAGATATGTATTTTCTAATACAGATATATATTACATAAATTTTTACAATAAATTATAAGTAATACAGAATATAGATGAGACAACAAACATGCACTTTATTATATATTTTTCGTTGAATTATTCAATATAAAGTAAAATATAACATTACTTAATTTACTGAATTTACACTATACATTTTCTAATAAAGTACGTATGTAAATTTGTGTGAAATATTTCGCAGGTGTTTCAAGGAAAGATGAAGAACTTAGAAGGATCGGACACAGAGATATCCGTTGCAATAAAAACGCTCCGGAAAGATGCTTCTTCCCATGAGAAAAAGAGATTGTTAAAGGAAGCCGAGCTTATAAATCGTTTTAGACACAAACATATATTAAGATTGTTTGGCGTTTGTTTGGATGGAATTTCTCCGTTTCTAGTGTTCGAATTAATGGAAACTAGTGATTTGTCAAAATATTTGAGAGATTGTCGAAATTTGGAAGCGTCAGATTCGCACGCTTTGCGTTTGCAAGATTTGGTCGCCATGTGCGAAGATGTTGCGCGAGGTTGTTGCTACTTGGAAGAATTGCGTTTCGTACATAAAGATCTAGCGTGTCGCAATTGTTTAGTATCTTCGAGAAAACGCGAGAATCGTGTCATTAAAATTGGAGATTTTGGACTAGCTAGAGATATCTACAAGGATGATTATTATCGCGTGGTAAATATTATTTAAAAAAATTATTTAAAAATTATTTAAAAAAATTAAAAATTGAATTCTTTTGAAAATACTTTCCATTTTTTCATCATAATAATATCGTGCATTATTTCTACAAGTAATATAGAATATAAATAGTTTTCATTTATATATAGCAAAAGATAACGTTTTTCATTTTGCACATATTATGAAAACGAACAACTTGAACCAGAAAATTAAATTTTTATTAAAATCATGTTTTAGAAAGGAGAAGATTTGCTTCCTGTTCGCTGGATGGCACCCGAATCTTTGATGATTAAAATATTTACTTCTCAAAGTGATGTTTGGTCATTTGGTGTTTTAATGTGGGAAATTACATCGTTGGGTGAGCAACCTTATATTGGCAAGGCTAATGAAGAAGTGATAAATTATGTACGTGCTGGAGGCAGGTTGCCGATGACTCTTAACTGTCCGTCACCATTGTATCAGTTGATGCTACGTTGCTGGAGTGCAGCAGATGCTAGACCAAACTTCAAATTTTGTTTGAAAAATATTATAGCATTAAGAACGAACATAGAAGATGCCTTACTGAGTCCAGTCGACACTATTTAGCTGATTTAATTAAATTAATGTTTATCTTCTTTTCCAAACGATCAGATAAAGCTTAATGTAGGAAAAATATTTCTAGAATATTTCTAAATTGATTCTGTTATTTTCAGGTTTAATCTTAATATTAGATTTATCAATGAATATAAAAGAAATTTTTTAATCTCACCTTCCATAAAATCTTGATTATTTAAAAATATCACATCCATTTTCATGATTGTACAACAACGAAATATAATGATATATCTAATTTGTGTTTTTAAATAATCTAAGTGAAACCTAATGATTGCAATTATATATATATATATACAATATATATATATATATATATATATATATATATATATATTATATATATATTACACATATATATATACACACACACATATATATATATATATATTCTGCTGTAGATATTAAGAATGTAAAAGTTATAACTTAGAAAATTAATAATAAGCAGAATAATTCTTGTAGAAAGCAGAATTACGCATTTTTTTAATAAAAAAAGAATACTTTTGTATCTTTACCAATCCAACTCTTTTTACGCGTTAAAATGATTTGTGTAAGAATGAAAAAAATCGCCGTCAAATTCTATGTATTAAAAAACCATTATTTAAAAAAAAAATCGTATTAAAAAATACACGAATGCAAAAGATATCTCTTTTTATGTGGCAGATACGTTTCACAATAATAAGAAATCGCGTTTTTAGAAAAAAACCGTGTAGAAAGAAAAATATGTACATAAAAAAGTTAAATATATTAGAAAAGTATGCATAGAATATGTATATTATTTGATTCACAGTATTTAACTCGCTTGTACGTTACTGCAGACAAAGTCGATCCAAGCAGCTGTCATCTATGAATCATTCAATTGATTACAGTTGTAGTCGGTAATTGATCTCTAATGGTAAAAGGTTGTTACAACCATTATGATTCATCCTGTATATATTACTTTATAATATATGCTAAAATGAAAAAAGATCACGCGCTGTTAATAATATGTAATAAAAATTAAGAAATGTATGATATGTTTCGTACTTTTGAGATCCACAATTATGGATCTAGCACGGACATGAACCAATCGGTCGTTTTACCGTGGCAGCGAAAAGTGGATCCGGCCACGTAGTACCGCCGGCCGTAAAATGGATCCAGTTAGCGCCACTTTATGGCGGGGAAAAAGCGTTCCCTGAAAAAGGGCAGCATGACCCCTCTCAGGCTTCTCTCTGATACCACGATATACACACATGCCTCTAATCGGATAAAGTCAGCTGATTCTAGCTGATCGGGCTGATCCTCCAGATGCAAGTGTCAGAAAGAGAGATGGTCAGGGGCGAATATCCAGTTCCGGAGGAAGGGAAGAAAGAGGATGACATGGAGGAAATAATAGCAGAAGCAAGTAATCCCGATAACGATCCCGATAACTTGTTGGAGGAAATAATAGCGGAAGCAAGTAATCCCGATAACGTCAACGAGGAAATGGACTGCGCCGAGGACGAGGAGCATCCTGATGACATCAGGTGCCTGGAGGAAGATGTATACTCCGATATCGGTAAACGAGCAAATTCTTTTTCTGTGGAAAAAAATGCGAATGTAAAATTTATAAATATACAAGAAATTAAAAAGAGAGATGAGAACAATTATAATGTATGTTTAGAAAAATACAACAATAATTTTGGAACTCTGACATTTTTAGAAAAATGCAAAAATAATTTTGGATAATAATGTTGGATTAAAAAATTAATTATTTGTAATTGTTAATATAGGTATTAAAGCATTAGAAGACGAGTTGGACCATTTGGAAACTGCTCTGGATCATTTAGAGAAGAAAAATGATGATATACATGCAGAATTGATTGAATTATTACAATCTAATCGCGAGGCTAGAAAACAGTTTCAGGAATCGCTGCAAAATGAGAATCAACAGTCACAGTGATAGTGATTATATATTTAAAATATAAAATCAAATTGAGAGTCAACAAGCACAGTGATAATTATTTTATATTTAAAATATAAAATTATATACTTTGTTAATTTAATATCTAGAATTATCATTCTATCATGTTATTTTTAATATTGCAAATGAAATATTCTTCTATTTCTAATAACATTGCAAATGATATATTTATAAAAATTATGAGATGTTACCATTTATTGTGAACAAAAACAAATTGCGTTTATCGCTATTTGAGAATACAAACTTTGATAGCATTTTTGGTAATAGAAGAAATAAGATAGAATATACAATTTATCATGTAATTATACACATGTATATATTTGAAAATATTAATGGATTTTATTTTGCACATAGAACAATGTCAATTGGATTAAAATTGTAATTTTGGCGAAATATTATACTACATTTAAGACATTATTTTCTTCATTAAACACTAATAAATCTCTCATTTAGAGAATTCTGTATGATATCTTTTAATTGTTATTTATAAATTATGCATTGATTAAACGTGAATATATTAACAAATGATATGTATATAGATCTTAAGTGTAAAATTGAAAAATATAAAAATATACTTTTAAAAGTAGGATTCTATATATATTTATATATTCCTCAAAATATATTCTTAAAAATAAAAATCTACTGTAAAAAAATATTTCTGTTAATAAAAGAATGATTAAAGAATCTGACATGTGACTCCTTTCATAAACTTTAGAATTATGCCACACCATTGATATGTACATCATGTTAAAAGAAAGGACTGTTCAAGCAATAAATATATATGAACAATTATGTAAGTTTTATTTATGTGTAAACAAACAGATTTATAATATAATTGTCGGTGGTAGTAAAAGTATTTTTTATTCTGCTAATTTTTTTGCAATTACTTTTTTTAATTACACTTATATAACAAAGGATTCTTATTGATAGATGCGCAAATAAAAAAGAAACTGATATGAGAGCTTTGTATATTTTGGATCTGCAAAATAAGACCCTGTGTTACAACATTCTTAAGTAGTTAAGTAGTTTGAATGAATTTATATCTTGATATTCTATTTTTAACCAAACATACTATCTATTTACAAGCTGATAAAAGATAAAATCTGTCAATTTGATAAGCTAAGTTATCTTCTGCTGGCCCCTACTTATATTTCTAAACAAAACAATTGATTGTTTTTATTATACATTAAGTGTGTTCAGTAAAATAACTTATATCATAAAGAGCGACATATATATATATATATATATATATATATATATATATGTGTGTGTGTGTGTGTGTGTGTCATATATATGCATATGTGTATACAGGGTAAGTTTTAATGGTTGTCAATTTTTATCATACGGGTTGTTTTTTTTATCATACGGGAGATTACCGATCGCAATTTTAATAAATTGATCGATACATAGTCAGTTAATTGAATCGAAGGCCGAAATATAATGTGTATAATTAAAGCAAATTAAAAGCTGAAATTATGTAGTGTGGATTTATTATTATTATTATTAAAGCTACGCATTTATTATTATTATTATTATTATTATTATTATTATTATTATTATTATTATTATTATTATTATTAAATATATATGTTATTATATTTATTATTAATATTTATTAATATTTATTATTAATTATTATTTTACTGTAATCAAATTTATTATTATACAGGAATTTATTATTATACATTCGATATATTAAAGCGGAAGTACATATTTAAAAATTCAGTTCAAATTTAACACTTTAACGTTTTATGTAAAACTTTATTTCAAATTCCGCATTTATCTTTATGATAAATTTTTATTGTTTTTTATGCTAAAAATATGCAGCAAAAATTTTCTTCCTGCTTAAAATAAAATTACGCAATTGTTTCATAAGAATGTATTTCTTGTGGAACAATTGCGTGATTTTATTTCAAGAAGTCAAAAATACTATATACCTTCAGCGTATAACAATAATTAAAAATTTTATCAAAAATAAGTACGGAATTTGAAATAAAATTTTACATAAAACGTTAAAGTGTTAAATTTAAACTGAATTTTTAAATATGTTTTTAAATATGTATTCTTACTGCTTTAATATATTAAATATATGTACGTAGCTTTAATAATAATAATAATAATAATAATAATAATAATAATAATAATAATAATAATAATAATAATAATGATAATAATAATAATAATAATGATAATAATAATAATAAATATAATATATATATTTAATAATAATAATAATAATAATAATAATAATAAATATAATATATATATATTTAATAATAATAATTATTATTATTATTATTATAAGTGCGTAGCTTTAATAATAATAATAATTATTATTATTATAAGTGCGTAGCTTTAATAATAATAATAATAATTATTATTATTATTATTATAAGTGCGTAACTTTAATAATAATAATAAATCCATATTACATAATTTTTGCTTTTAACTTGCTTTAATTGCACACATTTATATTTCGGCCTTCGATACGATCGATCCAATTAACTGACATCAATGTATCGATCAATTTATTAAAATTGCAATCGTAATCTTCCGAATGATAAAAAGATTGACACAACCATTAAAACTCACCCTGTATACATATATACTTATTGTGTATATTATGTATATGGGAGTGTGTTTTAGATAAAATTCATCTTTGAGATGTAGAGAAAAAGATACTCTCTCTTTTCAATTTACAGTTTTCATCAATCTTTGAATTTATATTTGAGACAGTGCAGTATCAACACATTGACATATAACATGTTTAAGTGAAAATACTGGATTAATAATTCTCATCAAATAAATTCACCAGTTAATTGAGTATGATATTAGTACATGTGACCTCACAGAGTGCAAAAACACACAAACAGTACAATGACTAATTATTTTAGTGTATTAATAAATACTTGTTATGTATGTATTAATGATTCTTCCAAAATAAATCTACACGCTCCAAAAAAAAAAAAAGAAAAAAAAACTTTAGCTTGAAATTTTATTGTAAATAATGAGATTTAAATCTTTACAAACAGAAAATGTACATGTATATGGCTGACACTTCACTATAAAATTACATAACAAATTTTACATATTATTTTTAAAATAATATGCCTAAACTTTGCTGTTAGCGAGCAAATATAAAAATCTAATTATACTTATCTCTAAAATCAAGTAGAATATTAACATGATAATGCATAATATGTAATTATAGCTGTCTATTATACAATTCGAGTGGTTTAATTCACTCACAGATATATTGAAATAAATGAAAATAAGATCGAATAACTTAACACGTCTGCATTTGAGATAAACATATTCTTATAAAAAACGCAACACATCAACTTACTTCCATAAAGGTTCAAGATTAAGATTTCAGTGCTTTAATAAATTACAATGAAAGTCCTTTGATAAACTTAGATATGCTCAATAAAAACTGGTCTAATGATTAGGATGATAAGAAATTTATTGAAAAAACTAATGCAATTTTCTCATATTAATTGTGCTAATATATGTATGTATAATATATTTCTCATTGTCATTATACATATTCACACTTTTTGTATACAATAAACATAACAGATTATCAGAGTTTTTAATTGTGTATGTGGGAGATGAGTTCTATGTAGAATAAAAGTAACTATAAAGTTATTTTAATTTCATGCACAGGAGTGCATCGGAAATTATAAAATATATAAATTATATTTCAATTATATTCATAAAATATAAAAATTATTCACAAATTCAAGAATGGTTTTTAAAACGTTTATAAAATACTGAAATCTTAAACTATTACCTTTTACATTTTAGATCAATTTTATACTAAGGTATCTTCTTATGTGTATATGTCGTGTATGTATCTTATACAGTGTGATCTAAGTGAGATAATTAACAATTATGAATTAATAAAAAAAATATGATAAGGAAAAACATTTTTTTTTAATATGTATGCATAGATTTCTTTTATCACAATCTAAATTTTTTTATAACCTAATGCTTCATATATATTATATGAAAAACTCTCGTCATTCTATATTTTTACTTCTCTTTACAAAGCTAATTGTGAGACATTTTTTGGAAAGAAAATTATTTATAATTATATACAAGCAAGAACGAAAATTTTATTAATGTAACTCTCACATTTGTCCATTTGCAAGAGTCCATTGTCCATTGACAAGCTGTAATCATTTTGGTATCTAATTTCTTTTCTCTTTTAGTGATATTTTTAAAATTGCTCCTTTATACTTTTCATTATGTTTGTTTCACAATAAGATATTTAGATTATGTTGCTGCAGATACTATTCTTACTTTATGTGATAGTAAATGCTGCAAAATTTGTAATATTTTGAAATGTTATTATTACAAACAAGTTTTATCACTTCTATTTTTTACATTACCATTTTTTCTAGATAATTACTAAATCCAGAAGCAGAGTTCTCAGCAAAAAGCTAAAAAAATAGATTTAAATAAGTTATATTACGTATATAATAAAGAATATATATACATATGAGTGTAAAAAACATATTATATCAATGATATAAAATATTATATCAATGATACAAAGTAATATTATATCAATGATACAAAGTAATATACAAAATATACTTTAAAGTTTTGCAAAAATTTTAATTACTTGAATCTGTCCAACATATAATACTTGTATTAAATAATGATTACAATATCAATTTGTTATATAAAAATTCAGAATATATATAATGTATATAAGTGAGAGAATTTAAATATTATATGTATACATTTATAAATTATTTATTATCAATACAAGATAGAAGTTTCATGTTTAATAACAATCGATAAATTTTAATTACGCTATAATAAAATAAACAATTTTACAGTAGACATATTTACAGCTGCTCTTCTTGAAATTATATAAAAAAATATAATAAGCAGAAACTATTTATCTAATTGCAATCAAATCTTATATTATGATAACAAATTCAACGAATTTCATATGCTATAAATATATATAGACCATCATTGATATCTTTATCTTCTTTTAACAGAATTTCTACGAGACTATTGTTAAATACACTCTATTTAGAAAATATACTGAAAACCAAAAAATACTGTAGAAGCAGTTATCAACTTGTAAGAGAAACTATAAATAATTATAATAACTATAAACTTCCTGTACGTTTGAAATCTTGATTGATTTTTAATATCTTGTAATAATAATTTTAATTAGTTTATTACAGTAAATTTAATCTGAATCTAATACACAATGAATCTGTGTAGTTAACTTTCAAAATAGAAAAGGAGAAAAAAACAGTCTAAAAATCTATTAAAAATAAGAGAAAGAAACTTACCATGTATATAAATAATGGTATTTACGATTTTAGATTCTTACTAGAGAGTCTTACTAGAGAATCGTAAAGCAAAGCCTTATCATCTAAAGGATCTAAAGAATCTGTTAGATCTGAAGAATATAGATTGTCCATAGGTAAATCTGATGATGCTGTTGGTAGCGAAGATGATTCATTTCCTAATAACATATCATCATCAAAGTCTAGTAGATTGGGTGTAGGATTATATGCCATAAGTTCTCCACCAGCAGATCCATTAATAGAATCTTCAACTATATAAAATTAAAATTATTAATAGTTTTGATTTAATTTTTTTATTTTTACTCAATTAAATATAAACTGCAAAAAATTATTTCTACACAAACACATGCACAGAACCTTTTTTAATAATTTTATCAACAATTTTAGAAATGTATAAAAAAATTTTTTATGCGCTTTTTACATTGAGAAATAAAGAAATATATGATTCACATTAAAAATTACAAAAACTCACTTGCAGTGTTATTATCATTATCTTTTCCACAATTCGGATTCAATTCTGGATTAATTGGCAATCCGAATGTCATTGGATCATCTGCACCGAACAACTGTAACAAAGAAATAAAATAATTATAAAATAATAAAATTATAAAATAATAAAAGAATGATAAAATTATAAAATAATAAAAGAAATAAAAATTATAAAATAAATTATAAAATAATAAAAGAAATAAAAATATTAGGTTTTTTCATCATATATATATATATATATATATATATATATATATATATATATATATGATGAAAAAACCTAATATTTTTATTTCTTTTATTATTTTATAATTTATTTTATAATTTTTATTTCTTTTATTATTTTATAATTTTATCATTCTTTTATTATTTTATAATTCTATTATTTTATAATTATTTTATTTCTTTTATAATATACTTATATATTCTACTAGAAAAAAACTTTTATTATTTATTGTCCTTTACTTATTATTTTTAAAAAAGTTTATTTCTTTTTTTGGGCCTTAATATTTTAAAATATTTCAAAATTATATTTACCCCAAGAAGAGTGTTAGCATCGATGCTGCAACCTTCACCGCGTAGAATTTCACGCAGGTTTTCCAGGTCTGTTTGCATTGATTCCAGATGATTATCCATATGTTCCCTATATACATAATGTTACAAATGTAAAAAATTTTAACATTATAAATAAGAAACATTGTATATAAAATGAAAAACAGATGATGTATAGCTTTTACCATTAGATGCAGTCTGAAATATAATTATTTATGTAGTAAGACACAATAACAATTTTGACAAGAAATATGTATTTTTCTTCTATAATAAACATGTACTCTAATATTGTAAAAACATAAACAATCTAAAGTATACAATGATTCAAATGATATTGTATTAGTAATATCAAATACAAATAAAATTTAATATTATACATAAATTTATAGAAAATATCAAAATTAAAGCCTTGTAAAATTAAAGTTAATCTAATCTAATAATACAGATTATATGTAATGATACATAAAGAAGAAAAATATATTTTTTATATTTTGTAAGTTAAAATTAAAATAAAAAGCTAATTATTTAAATTGCCAATATTAATAAATATTATTATACAGTGTCCCAAAAATCCCGGACCGGTCGAATATTTCATAAACTATGCACTTTAGAAAGAAATGTTTCAAACAAAAGTTGTATAGCTTGAAGGAAGCCATCAGATAATGGCAATGATTTGACATGGAAGAGTTATTTGAAAGTCACGTGAAGATCATCGTCAATTTCTTAAATGTAACCCTCTATTTTTTATTACATATTCGTATAGCTTATCTCGAGAGCTTTCCAAAACACTATAATAAAGTATTTCTTCATTGAGTACTTTTCGAGTGATGAGGCTTAAAATCATTTCTTAATTTTGCATAAACCATAAAATATCTAGTAAAATATTATATATATATATATATATATATATATATATATATATATATATATACAAGGTGGGGCATTTATCTTGAGACAAGATAATATCTCGATTGGAGTCGATTATTTTGAAAAAAGTTTTAGACAAAAGTTGTATGGTTTCAGGGGGGACATAAAATGGTGTCATTAGTTTGATCTTGAAGAGCCACCTGAAGGACACGCGAAGGTCAGCTCCAACTTTTTAAATGGGACACCCTATAGAAAAATCAATTGGTGTAAAGAAAACTCATAGTTGTTTCGAAAAAAAAAATGTAATTTGCAATTAACAATTACATATTTTTTCTTAAAAATAACTATGTCTTTTCTTTGATCAATTGATTCCTCTCATTATTTTGTACATAAAAGTATTAAGGTAAAATAATCGAAAAATGAATATTTTACAAGATATTTTACGGTTTATGTAAAATTAAAAAATGATTTCAAGCCTCATAACTTGGAAAGTACTTAATGAAAACTAACTTAATTATAGTGTTTTGGAAAGCTCTTGAGATGAGCTACAAGAATATGCAAAAGCATATAGGGTGTCCCATTTAAAAAGTTGGAGCTGACCTTCGCGTGTCCTTCAGGTGGCTCTTCAAGATCAAACTAATAACACCATCTTATGTCCCCCTTGAAACCATACAACTTTTGTCTAAAACTTTTTTCAAAATAATCGACTCCAATCGAGATATTATCTTGTCTCAAGATAAATGCCCCACCCTGTGTATATATATATATATATATATATATATATATATATATATATATATATAATAATATATATTCATTTTTTGATTATCTTACCTTATTACTTTTATGTACAAAATAATGAGAGGAATCAATTGGTCTAAAGAAAAAACATGGTTGTTTTTAAGAAAAAAATATGTAATTTGCAAATAACAATTACATATTTTTTTTAAAACAATGTGTTTTCTTTACACCAATTGATGATTTATGAAATATTCGATCGGTCCGAGACTTTTGGGACACTCTGTATATATTGCACGCAAAAATAATTTATTTTGAAAACCAATACGGTTTTTGAAAATTGGAAAAAAATTAAAAAAAAAAAAAAAAAAAAAATGAGTGGGGAAGTGTTTTATTCAATGTAAAAATATAAAATATAAAAAATGATACTTTTTCACCTCTTTCTGTATGATTAATGATTTCCCCAATCAAGCGGAAACTATTACTGAATGCCACCTTAAGTTATTCATGGTCTGTGCCAAACTTACATCGGTTCTAACCTGTAATTAGCTTCGGATATGCCAGAGGAATTGACACAACTCAAAGATAAATCTCTTGATGAACTTGTGCTTGCTTTGTCATCATTGTTCTTTCCATCTTGCGAAAATGTCGATATTCCATTTTCGTTATGGTGTTCAATATCATTTGTCGCTAAAGCAATTTTCTCATCATCAACTTGATAAAGTCTCTTATTATTTTGCTTAGATCCCTCGTTGTCGTTATCCTTATTCCCGACAATATTTTGAATGTTGCTGTCGTTGACTATTTCTGGAACAATTAAGATATCCTCCAGCTTCATCATAGATGCATCGTTGTCCGAGGCTTCCATATCGTCTTCCATGTCAGCTGAGTTGTCCAACATATCAATGTCGTGCTCAGCATCTTGGGACTCATTGATATTTGCTGCCATTGCTGCGAGTTTAGAACTGCGTACAGTCGCCACAGGTACAGGTTTAGAACCGACAGATTCTTTTTTGAGTAAATCAAAAGTTACAGGAGTTTCCTCATTGTCGGGCATTTCGAGCAAATGTAATTCTTCCCTAGAAACGAAGACAAGCTATTGCTATCTTCATTTTTGCATTATATTCAGACTTAATCTTTGTCTATATTGAATACTTTGCTACTACTATATGTTATACTTATCTCAATAGCATAATGGAATCATGGAAAAACTATATAATATTCTAACTATATAGTATTCTAATATAAGAGGCAACATAGGAGATAAGAAATCGCATGCAACCATTTCAACATATTATATCAATAAGTGATAAAATGACGCAATACAAAAGCTAACAATAATATAGAAAAAATAATAGATGTGTCTAAAATATAAGAAAATATTATACAGGGTAAGCCATTTGAAGTTACCCACCCCAATAACTTTTTTATTTTGAAATGTACAACAAAATGTTTCAAATAAAAGTTGCTTGACTTCGAGGGGGCCATAATATGGTGTCATTGGTTTGACCTTGAATAGTTACTTGAAGGTCACGGGAAGGTCACCTTCAATTTCTTAAATGGAATCTACTATTTTTCATTGCATATTCTTGTAACTCATCTCAAGAGCTTTTCAAAACACTATAATAAATTATTTTTCCATGAAGTACTTTTCGAGTTATAAGGCTTCAAATCATTTCTTAATTTTACATAAACCGTAAAGTATCTTGTAAAATATTCATTTTTCGATTATGTTACCTTAATACTTTTATGTACAAAATAATGAGAGGAATCAATTGACATAAAAAAAACTCATAGTTTCGAAGAAAAAATAAGTAATTTGCAATTAACAATTACATATTTTTTCTTAAAAATAACTATGTGTTTTCTTTACACCAATTGATTCCTCTCATTATTTTTGTACATAAAAGTATTAAGGTAGGATAATCAAAAAATGAATATTTTACAAGATATTTTACGATTTATGTAAAATTAAGAAATGATTTCAAGCCTTATAACTCAAAAAGTACTTAACGAAAAGGTACTTAATTATAGTGTTTTGGAAAGCTCTCGAGATAAGCTACAAGAATATGCAATGAAAAATAGTAGGTTCCATTTAAGAAATTGAAGGTGACCTTTTTGGGACCTTCAAATGACTATCCAAGATCAAATTTTTGCCACCATCTTCTGTCCCCCTCGAAGTCAAGCAACTTTTATTTGAAACATTTTGTTGTACATTCAAAAATAAAAAAGTTATTGGGGTGGGTAACTTAAAATGGCTCACCCTGTATATGCAGAAATTATATATACAAGGCAAATTCTTTTTGTAATAGCAAAATAATGTTATATATATGAATGTTTTACTAATGTATAAAGAATTTTACATTTTTATCAATACACATATGTAAGCAAATCTATAATTGTTTTTTTTTTCTAATATATTTAATTAATTGTGTTCTACAAAAATCATGTTAATGTTCGATATCGAAATTAATCACTGACCAATATAAGTAGATTGTAATATAATCTTGAGATAATTTTAACGTTTTATTTAAAGAAAAAGATATTAAAAGTATTGTAAATCTGTATTTACAATATTTTTAATATCATTGTAAAAAATATATAAGAAACTGTCTTAATAAACAATACGAATTAATTACATATAAAATAGTAAAATTGTATGAATATGGAATTATATGAAAAAAAAAACCAAGGTTTGTTAAATGTTCTAAAAACATGCTATAAGAAAACAATAATAGAAGATTATGACATATGATTATGATATATATGTATATGATTTATTTCTTGAACATATTCTCTGAATGACTCTCTATAACATTAAATTTAATTTGAACAAGTGAATTTGACTGTTATACAACTTTTTTCTCATACACTCATATATTTCTTTATGATATCATATAATTATTAAGAAAACTGAAAAAGAACCCTGCCTTCAATAATGTTTTTATAATTGCTCAAATCTGATATTTCATGCAAAACAATGCAAATACTGAAGTATTTTCAAAATAAAATAACAAAATAGCTATAGATCTCAGAAATACCAACACCAAGTGAAAAAAAAAATGTTAACCTTGGTTTTCCTCCATTTTCCAATGGTGGGATCAAAATTTTGACAGGCACCTTGTTTTTCCTCCTGGTAATATTTAAATACCATTTGGATAAATGTAATGTATAAAAAGAATTTTAACATTCAAATAATAAATATTGCTAGATTTTAGTGAATGTGCAATCAAGGTGTTAAATTCAAAATATTAGTTCAACAAAATTTTGACAAATTCAATAATTTTTGATAACAGAATATTTGCACATTCACAAATTTTTTTGAAATAGTAGAAATAGTAGAAGTTCAGTAATAGTTTACACTATATAGATATTAGACCACACATTTCTCTACATTCAATATGAAATAAATCATTGTGTACAAAGTGTATTCCATGTAATTAAATTCTATTAAATTTAACGGAATATATATTTCTAAAACTTGATAGAATAAATATTTCAATTTTTTTATATTTCTATGTATTATAAAATATTTTACAAAAAAAAACACATTATTCATCTCTCTTTCTCTCTTACAAAGTAGCAATTCGTATTTCAAAGAATTATTATGTTAATATCTTTCCTAACTTAAATCGACTCCAAATTTTATAAAGAATATTGTTAATTTTCCATATTAATATGTGTATGTGTATATATATATATATATATATATATATATATATATATATATATGAATATGTCATACATGATGCAAAAAATATAATTAAACATACTTCTTTTTGCCTTTGCAAAGACGTTTCTTCCTCGTTTCATGCGAATCAGTTCTGATATTGTCTTCTAGCAGTGCCGTCTCAGGATTTTCGATCAAATGAACATTTCCCATATTTTCGTCATCCATTGCTTCGATATATTCTTCTGGACTATGGACAGCTGGCGCTCCATTCTCTAATATCCTAGATTAAAAAGTGATGTATATTAATATCTCATTATATTCTTACAATATATGTAACACATATATGCATTACGTTATATATAAGTTGTTAAATATTTTAGCATAATAAATATAAATATAATTATCTATATGAAAATAATACAATTATAATTATAATTATAAATATAAATATAATAAATATTAAATATAAATATAATTATTGAATATTATATCTCTTCAAGTTAAAATATTATTAGAAAATTATTTATATATTATATTATAGAAAAGAGAAATGAATTTTTTTTAATCAAAGTGCGCACACTTCCATTGTTCCATGTTTTAAAATTAATTCGTATGTAAATGCGTATGTATGTAAACTCTTACTCAGCAACAATATATTCTGAATCTAAATCAGGTTCCGATGCATCAAGTTCATGAATTATTGGTCCCGTAGGTGATGCTTGTGGCTACAAAATAAATATTTATTATTATAGCATGTATGTATATATTCACAAAAAATATGAAAAACATTGCAATAATAGTATTACCTTTGATAACTTGCTTTGTTTACGTGCACGATTTGAATCATCTATCATCAATGGATATCGCCTCTTGACGGATAAACCACCTGCTCTTGACGAGGGTTGCACAAGAGTAATAAGAAATTGAATAAGCTTATTAACAATTTGTTGTTGTTTCAGGTGTTTTTGTCTTAGCATCGCTATTTCTCTCCATAGTGCCTCATTTTCATGTTTAATTGCGCCTAATTTAGTATCCAAGCTCTCTTGTCGACCTTTCATACTTCTTACTTCTGATAACACCTTGTTCATTAGTTCTGGTTTAAGAGGAGCATGAGCTGCATCTTGACTTGCACTTTTGCTAGATGCAATCTAATAGAAAGATAAATAAAATTTTACTACTGTAATAAAATATTAATGCAATGTTTATCAAAAATTTGTCTTAATAATTTAGATTTTTAGAACTATGTTCTTTATGCAATCATTATTTCTTGCACATAATTTTTGATTTTGTTTCAATGGTTATAAAAAAAAAAAAAAAAAACATTCTTATACATTTCAAAATATATGTAAAAAAAAGCTAAATCAGTGCATTTATTTTAATAATTACAATTCTTTGAACTCAAATTATTGCATCATTGCAGCGTGTATAAATATGCTCACTTTTCTTTTAATATGCTCCAACAGATATGGATGTGCTTTGTGGAAAAACTGATGTGCAAATTCCATTTCGTCCTTATCGCATTTTAGGCCGCCCAATTCTACAGATACTTTCTTGTGGAATCCATCTTGAATATTAATTAACAAATAGTTTTTATTCTCTTTTTCATTTTAACTTCGTCTGTATTTGCTTCGTCTATATTTTCAAGACAATTAATATACAATAAACACTTACACATATTCAGCTGCCGTACAAAACTAGCCATATTGTTGTGTTTATAATAATGTGGCAATAATTCTCTCGCAAATTTTGCTTGATTTTTTATGAAAAAGCTTCGTCCGTTCTAAAAAAAAAAAATATTAAATATATGAATTTGTTTCTACAGCACAAACTATATAAGTATATATTATTTGCTATAATCTTCAAACATTACATCACAATCTATTTCTAATTACTATATATATACTAAATCACATAGACTTAAAAGCTTATCGAATGAACACCATTTATTCAACAAATTCTTTAATAACAAAATATGCAAATCACAATAATAAAAAATTTAATATAATTTAATATAATAGAAATACAATAATAAAAAATTTAATATAATTTAATATAATAGAAAATATTAATATAATATAAAAAATATTAATATTTTCTTTATATTAATATTTTCTAAATTTTTATATTAAATTTTTATATTTTTATATTAATATTTTTAAAATTTTTCTTTATATTAATATTTTCTATTATATTAATATTTTCCATTATAATAATATTTTCTATTATATTAATATTTTCCATTATATTAATATTTTCTAGTATATTAATATTTTCTATTATATTAATATTTTATATTTTATATTGTATTAATATTTTCTAGTATATTAATATTTTCTAGTATATTAATATTTTCTATTATATTAATATTTTCTATTATATTAATATTTTCTATTATATTAACATTTTATATTATATTAATAATTTAATTAACATAATATAATAACTTTTTATTATATTAATATTTTCTATTATATTAATAATTCAATTATATGTACTTTATACATATATTTTAAAAATAAATATCCAAACACAGCCCTACTTGATCGACCGAGCGAACAAAATCGAAATAATAATCGCGTGCAAGTTTCGCAACGCACGTAATACGAAAATGTCATATAGATCGCGGAAAAAACATGCATCATCGGAAATGACCTGACGAGGTTCGGGTATCGCGATTTATCAATCGCTCGCGACGAGGGCACCTGGACTCCGGACACGTGACATCGCGATCGTCCGATCCGGTTGACAGAAGACTCACGCGAGACTCGCCGGCTCCGAGCGAGGATCTAACAGGTAAATAAATAAAGGTAACTTACAGGTGACCAACAGATCAGGTTGTCGGTCTCCGGGTCCTCGACCAGTTTCCACAGCTTGGCAAGGAACGCCGGGACGCCGGTGCCCAATTCCGCGACCGTGTGCATCCTGGAGGATGGTGCGAAATGTTGAACAATGTCGTGTGCAGTTTCGTTCACCGATTTTGTTCGAAATCACGGAAAAATATCTCGCATCTCCGCCGACGACAATGGCCGACGACCGCTGACGATATTATTTTTGCTGACAGGCATCGGGCAGTCGCACGTGGGGCGAGGTGAGGCGAGGGAAGAGAGAGGGCGTGCGATGAATTTTCCGGCCTTCCCATTGGCCGTCGAGACCGGATGTGCCCGCGTGCGAATTTCTGCGTCGCAAAAATGTGAAATATGGATTAAGAAGCTCGTGCAAACTCATTTCGTCGTTTCCCGACAAACATTTTCTTATTTGTGTAATAAATTTTTTGTAATAAATTTTAGAATAAATTTGTATAATAAATTGATATGAGTGGGAGAATAGATATATATATCTCTCTGCTAAATCTACTAAATCTTTGTCAGGTATTGCCGTCTATATATTTTATACATCTATGGAGCAATTATATAAATGGCCGCATTCAGCGGACTCATCGCTAAGTAGCAATCGAATATGATTGGTCTCTACTTTCAAGTCCGACCAATCAGTGTCGAGTTATATCGGAAAATCTAGTAATGTTGCCCAACTGTTGAGTCCGCTGAATGTGGCCAATGTAAAAATATTGTATATACAGGGTGTCAGGGCAATCCCTTTCCAAAAAATAGCTCTTGTAGCTTACGTCGAGAGCTTTTCAAAACACTATAATAAAGTATTTTTTTCATCGAGTACTTTTCGAATCATGAGGCTTGAAATAATTTCTTAATTTTTACATAAACCATAAAATATCTTGTAAAATGTTCATTTTTCGATTATCTTACCTTCACACTTTTATGTACAAAATAATGAGAGAAATCAATTGGTATAAAGAAAAAACACATAATTGTTTCGAAAAAAAAGAATGTAATTGTTAATTGCAAATTACATATTTTTTTTCAAAACAATTGTGTTTCCTTTACACTAATGCCCGATTTCATCAACAGCGTTTAACTTTAATCTTAGTTTAACTCACTCTTTATCTCCTTTTAACTCTTCCTTTAGAAAGAGACAAAGAGTGAATTGAACTAAGATTAAAGTTAAACGCGGTTGGTGAAATCGGGCCTAATTGGTTCCTCTCATTATTTTGTACATAATTTTCTATAAAATAAGAATAAGTTGTTAATCTAATTCGATTACTTCAGAGACACATCATTCATCCGGATTAATCTAGGGAAATTTAAAAAGTCTATCGCTGAGGACCACTGCTCAGTCCGATCAAAGATCCGATTAATTATCGTATAAACACCCACAATCATTTAGGGTTTTTCCCTAGATTGAGATTTTACAATGGACCAATCAGAGGATTCTAGTAATTTTTCGGTAAGAAACATACATAAACACGATTGGCTGTCGAATAGAAAAATTTTCAGGAAAGTTCTCCATGTTTGGAGAAATAGGATTGGTTACTGCGTTATTCTTTAGCATTTTATACAAGATCATATCACAAAATATCCTGAAATTCGCGACTAAAAATACTAAAGCGGAAAAATTCTCTAAAAAGTAAAGTAATTATATGCAATTTTTTAAGCAGCAGTTTTTAAAAAAATAATAACAGTTTACAGCTAACTACATGACCACGCCTACGTCAAACTTGACATATGCAGTTTAGTAAGAATTAAAAGAATACTCGATGTTATATTAAAAATAAATGTATATTAAAAATAATAGATCTATATTTAGTAGTTGGAAAGAAAGAGAGAAATGAAAAGTGCATCTAGAGAATTTAAAAGAATAAAAATCTAAAAATAATAATACATAAAAATTAATATTATGTATTTTTTTCATGAGGAATGTGGGGCGCACATTTATGCATTTATTTATTTGGAGATTTACTTTAGAGCACATTCAGTATTCAACTTTAATTTTATTTTCTCTTTCTTATGATATATAAGTATAACATAATTACCTGCAAATGCTATCACTTTGTGTGCTTACAGTGATACAGAAGCAACATTACAAGTACTATATTTACAGATAACATCTGTATAATAAAAAAAGCATCAAAAATCTAATGATGAAAAAAGGATAAATATTGTAGACCAGGATAAGTATCAACCAATTATTCCACCGCTCTGTTTCATTAGAGTTGCAATTTTCTTTTATATCATAAATATTATAAATAAGATAAAGATTTCCGTATGTTTCAAATAAATTTATATATTTTATGTATGTAATACTGCGCACACATATTAAAAGGTGATAATATCGCAGTTATAATAAGATACGATCCTGGCATGTAGTGATTTTTGGATCCTGTTTAAAATAATTTAATTTGATTTATTTTTGAGAAATGCGCACAATACTTGAGAACAAATTATTTTTGTGCCATGTATTACCTGTGTAAAATTCCACACACAGTATCATATTGTCTGCGATATATGAAAAGCTTCATCGATGAAATATGATTGAGATATAAGAAAAGTAATATAGTACTTGTAATGAATAACGTTAATGTGGAATACATAAATATTTTATATTTTAATTTCATATAATCAAGATGAGATAAGACACTCATGATTATTTTAAAAATGTGTTCACAAATATCATGTAACTTCAACAGCTGCACATTCGTCAAATTAATCCTATTACGTTAAATGAATCACAGCAGCTTGTTTTAATTTAATCTAACCTAACCAATTATATTATATGCTTCTCATTAAAATGTGTAAAACTGCAAATTTAATACGATTAATATACTACGTAATAAAATGTAATACACTAATGAAATAATTAAATATTATTTTTGAAAGCATGATAAAATCCAGGCAGCATACGCTTGCGTTTACATTGACATCCAAAGCACTGAGATATTAGGTTAGGTTAGATCGAAAAAATTTATCGTTCAACAGTTGGCAGCCCTACGAGATAGGCTGTGCAGCACCGCGTATATAAAATAAATTTGAAATCGCTTCTAGCCTAACCATCTTCACGCGATCGACTTTATTTGAATTGCACGGCATCGCATCGAATTATGATGCGGCGCCGATTTGTTCGAACGTAATTCGGGACATCGCGATGCTGTATAAGCGTCGAATATGAGCACGAATTGTCACGCAAAATATGATAAATCACATCTACTCACCGTTCATCGGCTGTTCCACAGGCCGCTCCACTCGCTCGCCTCGGGACGTCCCATTCCGATCTTGATGCACACAAACTCACACGAAATCATCAACGCGAACACGCGACACTTTATTCGGCACTCCCGATATTCGCTCGCATCCGATAATCATCATCAAGGGCGCAAATAACGCGACTTCGCTCCATCTTCGCGATCGCACTATCACTGAACTGTGAAAAATAGCTGTCGCGCACTTTCACCGACATATTATGAAAGTCGCGCGATCATCCTTGGACACTTTCGACGCTCTTTCACTCGCGATATTTGTTTAAAAACGGTTAAAAGACGCGAAAAATGCGGACGTACGACGATCCGTGTAACTGCGTATGACTCCGATTCACGTATGACGCGTATGACGTAGCAGTGACGCGTATGACGTAGCAGTCACGCGCCAACATGGCGGCCGAACCAGTATGCAGAAACGAATGCGCGAATAAAGTGTCGCGCGTTCGCGTTGATGATTTCGTGTGAGTTTGTGTGCATCAAGATCGGAATGGGACGTCCCGAGGCGAGCGAGTGGAGCGGCCTGTGGAATAGCCGGTGAACGGTGAGTAGATGTGATTTATCATATTTGCGTGACAATTCGTGCTCATTCGACGCTTATACAGCATCGCGATGTCCCGAATTACGTTCGAACAAATCGGCGCCGCATCATAATTCGATGCGATGCCGTGCAATTCAAATAAAGTCGATCGCGTGAAGATGGTTAGGCTAGAAGCGATTTCAAATTTATTTTGTACGCGCGCGCTGTGCTGCACAGCCTATCTCGTAGGGCTGCCAACTGTTAAACGATAAATTTTTTCGATCTAACCTAACCTAACATCTCAGTGCTTTGGATGTCGAATGTAAACGCAAGCGTATGCTGCCTGGATTTTATCATGCTTTCAAAAATAATATTTAATTATTTCATTAGTGCATTACATTTTATTACGTAGTATATTAATCGTATTAAATGTGCAGTTTTACACATTTTAATGAGAAGCATATAATATAATTAGTTAGGTTAGATTAAATTAAAACAAGCTGCTGTGATTCATTTAACGTAATAGGATTAATTTGACGAATGTGCAGCTGTTGAAGTTACATGATATTTGTGGACACATTTTTAAAGTAATCATGAGTGTCTTATCTCATCTTGATTATATGAAATTAAAATATAAAATATTTATGTATTCCACATTAACGTTATTCATTACAAGTACTATATTACTTTTCTTATATCTCAATCATATTTCATCGATGAAGCTTTTCATATATCACAGACAATATGATACTGTGTGTGGAATTTACACAGGTAATACATGGCACAAAAATAATTTGTTCTCAAGTATTGTGCGCATTTCTCAAAAATAAATCAAATTAAATTATTTTAAGTAGGATCCAAAAATCACTACATGCCAGGATCGTATCTTATTATAACTGCGATATTATCACCTTTTAATATGTGTGCGCAGTATTACATACATAAAATATATAAATTTATTTGAAACATACGGAAATCTTTATCTTATTTATAATATTTATGATATAAAAGAAAATTGCAACTCTAATGAAACAGAGCGGTGGAGTAATTGGTTGATACTTATCCTGGTCTACAATATTTATCCTTTTTTCATCATTAGATTTTTGGTGCTTTTTTTATTATACAGATATTATCTGTAAATATAGTACTTGTAATGTTGCTTCTGTATCACTGTAAGTACACAAAGTGATAGCATTTGCAGGTAATTATGTTATACTTATATATCATAAGAAAGAGAAAATAAAATTAAAGTTGAATACTGAATGTGCTCTAAAGTAAATCTCATCCAAATAAATAAATGCATAAATGTGCGCCCCACATTCCTCATGAAAAAAATACATAATATTAATTTTTATGTATTATTATTTTTAGATTTTTATTCTTTTAAATTCTCTAGATGCACTTTTCATTTCTCCTCTCTTTCTTTCCAACTATTAAATATAGATCTATCATTTTTAATATAGATCTGTCATTTTTAGTGTACATTATTGCAGTAAGTGGAATAAAGAGCAAATCTTTTGGCGCATTTAAAATGTACAGGAAAGTTTTATCTGATGCGTTTTTTTCAATAGAAATATCTGAAAAAAATGCATACGTCTTTTTTAATCTTAGTCTTTCTAAATAAAAATTAGAATAATAAATTTGCAAAATAATTTACTTTAATATATTTTTATTGCAAACATATGAAGCAAAGTGCTCAAGGTGCATCACTATGAAAACATCGATAGAATAAAAAATAGATCGCATACAAAAAAATTAAAATATTTACATTACATATTTGATATTTCTGCAAATATTTCCATTATTTTGAGATTGATTTGTTTCATGATATATTGCAATAATTAAAGTATGATTTCTGATATAATCTGCCATGAGACTGCAGAGAAAGCCAGCTTTAATTCTTTATTTTGTTCAATATTTTTAATAATATAATAATTAAATTAAAGTTCTATGAAAATATGCTTGAAATACTAAATAAAAAAGATTATTTCTTATGTACAACCTTATACCTTATAGTTTAAGTAAACAAAAAATTATTGTTAATAATATACATATATAAATTGATAATTAAATAAAACAATTAATTAATCGACACAATCCACGTTTTTTTTTAGCTTTATGTCTAACATATATATATATATATATATATATATATATATATATATATATATGTATATATATTTTTATAAAAAATGTTTCTTTCTAATATAAATTAAATAAAAAGTATAATATGCCTTTAAATACTTTATATACATACCTGTTGCAATGAACCAATAAAGAATGCTTTTACATTCCTCCTTGTACTTTGGCATACATATCCTTTATGCCAATTATCTCGCAACACGCTTTTATCGCATGATGACAAACAAGCCCATTATCCTTCATGAATTTTCTTTACAAATATTTTTATATTCTCAAACTGTGTAAAGAAATCATGTAACACTGAAAAATACAAAGTGATATTAAAAGAGAAGAAATAAATTTTATATTATATAGTATTGACAATTATTTTCTTACCAGTGTATTCCTTATATGTAGGAATATACATTAGTCTTTGACCAGCCCTATTTTTAACCGTCTTTAGGGAAGCTTTAGCTTTTGATCACGCAAATCCAGCTAATCCATTTCTATTTCCAGTTACTATAAATGAACTGATTCTAGTCTTACGTGCTAAATTACCGGTCATACAAGTTATCATTTTGTTTTCCAAAATCCAGGTTTCAAAACTTTCTGTGTGTGTATCTGCAGAATGTATCTACAGAAAACAAAGATATTAATTATATAAGATTCTAATATTTAGAACTGAAACATAAAAAAAAATTGAAAATAGACATCGTATCACATGATTTTTGTATATGTGTAATTTATTAACCATTATAATCCAATAATAGCATAAATATTAACCTTTTCCAATAAGATCTGATTCAATGCTTCTGCCATCCATTGTAACACTCGTCCAACCACATTCCAATGGCGATAATTTTATTTGCATTGGTCTGGTCTGACTTTGTGGTAATTCCATAAGTTTTTGCTTTCTTTCAAGATTTACAAGCAGTTTTTGCTGTTGAATTAATTCTTTTCCTCTAAACACAGGAGTGTTTAGACCAGGAAATTGTATCAGAATTTTTCCCATGCCAATAATTTGCTCCTTATTTAGGAGCTTTCTCTTTTCACTACTCTTCTTGCTCTATCTCTGTGTCTTCCTACATTACTGATACTTGTCACACCCTTTCATAATTCATCTTCAGATCCTATAGAATAAAAGCACAATGAAATACAAATTATTTTCTACTGTAAATATAAACTATTATCAAAATGCTATATCCATAAAAGTTCTACTTACTATTCGCAAAAAATATAGAGTTTCTCACATTATTTAATAAAGTGATTATTTTTAATAAATGTGAATGACTGACAAGCAATAAATTAAACAATATTAAACAATAATATACTTGAAAAAAATTTCATAATTTTATTGGAGTTAAATTGATAAATTAATTTTAAATACACATTATATGTTAATTACATATAATGATTTAGAGACAATGATATATTTCATTTGCGTTACCATTGTTTATAGATTGAACATTTTTTATCAAATTATTTACAACTCTAAATATGTAACATACGACAAGCCATTTTTAAAATCTATAAAACAAACAACAAAGTTGTTCATAGTTTTCACTCTTTTTTGTCATAGTCTGCTTTTAGGAGATCTTAAAGTCACTAGATTAACAAAGTATCCGGCTTTAGGTTATCCCTGAAAGAACGATGTGTCCTCTATAAACATAAAAATATGAAATTGCACCTTTACGCCTTAAAATCTCATTGTAAACGACGCTTTACACACAAATATACACTTCACAAATAGCCAAATCTAAATATATCCTTGGATCGTGAATTTTGGGACACCCTGTATATGCAACCAAAAGTAAATCAATAGAGGATTTAAATAGGACATCGTGCATTTATATGATATCGTGTCTTATAACAAGCACAATTTATCTTAAAATTGAACATTATTTGTCGAGTAAAATTATATATTTCATGGAGAAGTAGATATTAACGTATAATAAGTATATATAACGTCACTTGAAAATTTAATACGAGTTTAGTGTCGCCCTTGACTCGCGTAGTAGGGCCAGGATGTCGCTGTACAGCAAATACTTCCGGCTTGTTCGAGAGAAGTAGATTTTACGCAGTCAGGTGAGGATCGTTTTGTACAAGTTGATAGGAGTACTTATACAAGCCGAAGACGCGAAATATTGGACGAGAACGGATCGAATGGTAAAGGCAATAGATTCTAAATGATATCTGATTGCAGATGGCAAATAGACGGCGAAATATATACGGATTGCGGTTGGGAATCTCGTAGCGTTTCTCGATGTACATGAAGAATTCACGAACGAGCGAGCGATTCATACGTTCTCATTTTCATAGGAAATGTTCCATTTCTTATGCACCACATACAACGTGTGAACATTTATTTACCATAAAACGGATTTAATTTTTAACGAATGTGAGTGTGGCTTTCCTATTTTCCAACAAAAAAAAAAAGATTAAAAAAAAAAGGCAAAATGTACGAAAAAGAAAGAAAACGACGGAGGATATCGGAATAGTAATAATTTCCATCGAAAAGTCCCGAGGGAATATTAAAGGGGCCGTGTAATTGATCGTCATTAAATGATAAGTCCGATTTGCGAGGTGAATAACGTCGAGACTAGTGACGTAATCGTATATATGTATAAATCTCGATCTCTCTATACAAGGCTCGAAAAAGACAGCGCGTATACAAAGTGCCGATCGAATCTCAAGAAAGGAAAGATTAAATCGGAGAGAGAGTTGATTAAAAAAAAAGTGCTAAAAAAGGGGGAAAAAGTGTCAGTAATTTCGTAGACACCCGGGAGGGCACGGTTTCTCGTGTTACGTAAATAGAACGAGCTGCGTTGTCGCGAGGGGCGCGGGGCGAGACGGGCGAGCCGTTATTGGTCGCGCGGTGGACGCGGCGCTCCGATTGGCCGGTCGCGCGGGCGGGGCGGGACGCGTGCGCGGTGACGGCTGCGCGGCGGCTATTCGGGTTTCGCTAGTCCGCCGAGTGAGAGGAACCGTTCGTTTTCAAGGAAGGAGCCGCATTTTAACGGGCGACCGTCCCGATTTCCGCCTCGCGCGTCAGCCTTCCTGACGGGCGAGCCCGATTACCACTGTAATTACGTAATCGTCGTCCTACGTAGGGCGCAGCCCAGGGGATTCTCGCTCGATCCGCGTCATACGTCACGTTTCACACGCCTCGATGAGGATCGCGATAGTACCATATGTCACGAGCGAGGGACCGAGGGATTTGTAAAAAAAAAGGCGAATCGCACGCAATTAAATCGAGATTCCCTTCCAAAATATAGGCCAAAAGGCCGAGTTTCGTTTCGAGCTGTCCGTCCCTCGGTTAGATTCGTGCGAGTCCTCTGTGAGAATTTCGACAATATGGCGTGGAAAGTGCGTCGGTTGTACCCTAATTGCGCATAGTCGTCAAGTATCTTTTATCTCGTTGCAGATAAGCGCGATGAACGTACGCCTGGTCCCGAAGATGCTCTGAAATATCTCAAATCTCAGCAAAATGGTGAGTCGCATATTTCTAAATTTTTTTTTTTTTTTTCCTCCAATAAATTGCAGGCCTTTTTTCTGCGAATATATCGCGAGCGATGGCGCCATCTGGCGGATCTGACGGTTGCGAGGGATCAATAACCTTTGCTCCCGTGCGCGCGTGACCTCGTATTCTATTTCTCATTGTTACGTATAATTACGTGCAACCTACGAGATTATTCAGCTAGCCCCGTCTTTATACGTCTTTATCGTCTATATACAAGGTGTCTCAAAACTCGTAACGAATCTTTCAAAGACAGATTCCTGGGATCATTTGGAGACGATTTTTCCTCAGCGAAAATGTCGATGAAGGCCATCATTTTTTGCACGTTTCCGATTTTTGTCATATATATATATATCTTTGCAATTAAGCCTTAAATTAAAACTCGACTAAAGTAAGCTCTATTTAAAATTAATCAAGAATGTCGTTTTGTTAATATTTTATTTCTACAAAGCTTAGTTTACGAAAAACCCCTTATTTCCAATCACTTGTAATTCGAAAATTATTAGTGCCTCGACATTTTCGTTGAGGAAAAATCGTCTTCGGATGATCCCAATCTGTCTCCGAAAGATTCATCATGAGTTTTGAGACACCTTGTATAACATTTTTTGAATTTTCCTTGTTGAATATTGATACGATTGATAAATATGATAATTACAAGTGGAAATATCTGGCGAGAGAAAAATTGTGAATTTTATGCATGAGTAGCTTGTGTAAAATTATTTCATAGTAAATACATATGGAAGAGAGAGAAATAATGATTTTAAAAGAAAATATGAAAATTTAATTTTATCAGTGTCTCAGCTGTGCATAATTTCTGTATCTAATAGTTGGATATCTTAATCTCGTTCAGATAGTTAGTTGGATATCTTAATCTCGTTCAGATAGTTTATATATTATTCATCGTTCAGATATTATTAGTCATGGCTATAAGTCAAGAATGTATCCAATTACTCGGATAATATTTCAAATGTCTTGATTTTGATAGCATTTTTTATTTATTAATTTTTTCTTTTTTTCTTATTTTATTTTCTGATATATTTAATTTAATGTAATTATTAATATTAATAATTTGAATATATAGTGATTAATAATATATTTTTTATAGAATATTTTTTTATTTCTCTTTATAAATTAAATTATTTTTGTTGAAATTATTTTTTTTTTCTTTTTTTTTTCTTTTGAGAATTTTATTCAGCAAGAAAATAATTGAGAGATGAAAGTTGAATTTTATATTGAAAATACATTCTTAATATATATATATTTTATATCCAATTTCTTGATAAAATATTTAAATGTGCCATACAATTTCTATTTTATCATTTTTCTTGAGAATAAGAGAAAAAATTTATATTATTAAAAGTATTTATTTTCTATTTCCCTTCATTTAAAAAAATTTTCTTTTATAATTTTATGAGCGTAAACTATTAATTTACAATAAATTAAATTTACAATATCAAAAAATTTAATTGATTTATTAAATTTTCAATAATAATTCATTAAACTGTCAGAAATTAAAATTTAAAAAAATTTTACTTATAGAAATATTCTAATTTTAATGAAAAATCTGAAAATTCACAAAAATCTTTTTCAAAAGTTCAAATGAATATGTATATATTCTTGTAATTCATTTAATATTTTCTCATTATTAAATTTTTTATTTTGTAAGCATAATTTACATTTTGATATGATGATTGCATTAATAATACTTTTCTTCTTAAATTGTATTTGCAGCCACGTATAGATCCCCTATCCTTACTTAAATGCCTTAGCGTTTTATTGGGTCCAACAGGAGGCATTAAGAGTAAAGAGGAAGTTCATCGCTTAGCTAATTTAATGACAAAGTTTTCTAAGAAACTCGTCTCGAAATGCATTTATATACAGATATTGAAAACTACTAATACGGATTTGCTTAGTCAGTAAGTACTTAAAAATCTATGCAAATAATATTAAAATGGTTATTTAACTCTCTTTACAAACATTCTATTCTATCGTTCCTTGTGATATTAATTCAGCAATTGTCAAAGAAACTTAGCATGTTGAGACATACAAGTATATATAATTCTTCGTGTATTTGTGTGTAAAGAAAATATAAAACATGCAAGAGTAAATATAAAAGGTTCAGAACCATTAGATGGTGCTTAGTAATGTGCCATTTTTACTGATACGAGCCTTACATTTTAATTTTTTTCAACAATTTAAACTGGTACAAGTGTAAAATTAATTATATATACTGTAAGTGCTGCGCTTTGTACAGTAGAAAGCAAAGCAATAAGCGGAAGAGATAGAGGAGACTAGTGGACAAAATAAAACAGACATGAATAATTAAATAATTCAGGATATATTTTTAATCATGTAAAACATTATAGTTCTAAAGACAATCAAGAGTTGTAAAATTTGATTTCTTAAATCTATATTGATTGTTGAATCTTTTTAATAGATCAATGATTCTATATTAAAAATAAATATATAAATTATATAATTAATTAATCATAATAAATAAATAAATAAATATATATGAAACTAAATATTTCATTATTATTCAATTATTTTCTTATTACAATATTCAGTATTAGTCTACGTGTATTCATAAGAATAGTTGTAAGGCTTGATTATTATAGATTATCTTCTTTAGAACACGTACACATTATTTTTATAATTTTTAACATTTTATGATAGAAATTAGAATTAAAAAGGAGGAAAATCGAATAAGAAAAAGAAATAATTATTTCATCTCATTCATAATAATATAATTATATTATCTTATTTTTTTATATTATAATTTCTTATAATATTTTAAATTTATTATATTATTTTAATAAATTAAATTTAATAATTATTATAATATTTTAAATTTAATATAATACTTTAAACTTGATAATTTCTATTTTTACAGATTTATGAGTGCTGGAGGATGGAATCTTATTCACACGTGGCTCACTGATGGCATTCTTGCTAAGAATTGGGCCCTTATTCAAGAACTTCTGGAACTTTTGTTACTTTGCCCAGTAGACATTGAGCGATTGAAGAGTAACAATTGTCCAAAGCTGATTAAAGGCCTGTCAAAAGAGGGCAGCCATCAAGGTGTACGAACGTTGGCCACTCGACTCGTGGAACAGTGGCTGAAAATTGTGAAAGGAGAAGCGGCGCCGAATTCGGTGCCAGCTCAAATCATGACGGTTTCAGTGCAATCGAACGCTATTACGGGACAAATTGCTGTTGTTCCTTCGTCGCAGCAGCAACATTACTTGTTAAATTCTCAACAAACTCTCGACATTGTGGAAAATGCAACTGTTCACGTTCAAGACTTCAAGCTTGCGCAATCATCCACCGCGAATACTCCAGCCAATCAAGTCCAGCAAGATCAAGAGAAGCAACAACAGGAGAGGTTGCAATCGCAAGCGGTGCAAGTTGTTGGCAAGGGTCAGCAAGCGACCCAGCAACAAAGTAAAAAGCAATCATTTGTTGTTGTAACAACGTCTTCACAATCATCAGCTCCCGTTTACAAGATTACCATTCGTGATGGTAATCAGGTCCTCGCGAAAGTGGAGACAGACGTTACAAATATAAATAGTGTTTTAAGCAAATCTGGTACAAATACAGAAGTAGTTATAAATACTGTGGACGCTACGCTTCCTGCTTTACAGGAAGCGAAGCAGGAAACGGACGAGGTAGAGGAGACTGGACAAAGTGGCAGTGCGACGAGTGGTCAAGATGAAACGGTAGACGTTGAACAATCAGACAATTTGGGACATGTTTCTGGTGATGTGAAACAGACCGTAGGCAGTTCTAAGGACAATCAGGATATCGAAGGTGCTAAAAGTAAAGATAATAAAGACGCTATTATTGTTAATAGTGATAGCAGTAAGTCTAGTGACAAGGAAAATAGGGACTCTCATAAGAAGGATGATAAAAAATCCAGTTCCGATAAGAAGAGCAGCACTCATCACAGTTCGTCTTCGTCATCCAAGAGTTCTTCTAAGCACAGCGCGAGTTCCAGTACCCATCGCAGCAGCTCGACGTCCCACAGATCAAGTCATCGCTCCAGTAGCAATAGTTCCAAAGCCTCCAACTCCAACAAAGACAAGTCTTCCAAGGACAAGCATCACTCTGGCTCGTCCAGCAAGCATAGTTCGAGCAATAAAAGTAAATCCGAGCGTGACAAGGAACGGGAGAAGGAGAGGCAGAAGAAGGATCAGGCGGAAAAGGATAAGGCGACTTTGGAGAAAGTCCAAGGCCAAGCATTGAGCTCCAAGCTGGGCAAAATACCGAAGAAACGAATGGAGGACGACGCGAACGGGAGAAAGTCCTCGACCGAGTCGCGAGATGGTACGAAGGAAAATAAAGAGAAAATAGATAGTAAAAAAGATACTGTTACAAAGCTCACTACTGAGAAGAAGAATATATCCATCTCCATTGAAAATAGGAAAAACAGCCAGGACTCTGGAACACGGCCGAAAACGGTGAAGACGTTTAATTCCAAGTTTAGATCCACGGGGCTGGAAGAAGAGGTAAAACCACCGCCGCCGAGATCGAAGAAGCCAAATCCTGCGGTCGACAAGAAGGTTTTGCCCCCGAAATTTCCGCTCAAGAGGCCATCGCCTTTAAGAGAAACCATTCCACTGGTGGAAAAACGGGTGAAGCTATCCCTGGACTCGCCAACAACGCCACCAGGCGACGAGAAGAAGGGAGGCATTAAACTGATCCCACCAAAACCCAAACGTAAGTATACTGGTACTTTATCTACTACGTACAAAGTTTCCTTATTAATATGGGATTTTTATTATTATATTTATTTTTACCTTTAATATAGATGTAAATATTACGCTAATGTCCTCGGATGAAGCAGTCGGTAGTTAGAAATTATTGCTACTTGTGTAAACATTGAATTTTGTCAAATTTTAAAATAAAATTTGGATAAAATTTGGAATAATGAAAAGGATCCAAATCTTCGAGACGTCTTTGTACTAAATGCAATTTTCAAAGAAATATCAAATACATACAGACATGTGTTTACAAAAAGAGAATACAAATATTCTACAACAAAAACAAAAATATTTATTGCGTATAATAATTTTATAAATTTCGAAATTTCGAATATTAATATACATTCCTTTTTCTAAACATATTTATGTATGCTTTTAAATTATTAGAATAGATAAACTTAAATATATATATAATGATTTTTATTTTTATTAAAATATAATTCTCACTTAAATTTAATTGATATTTTAATAAAACGTTAAGTATTTATTTTATAGAACTTATATTTTTTCAGAAAAATATTATTTTATTATATTATTTTATTATCATCATCATCATTATCATCATCATCATCCATCATCATTATTATTATTATTATCACTATTATTATTATTATCACTTATTATTATTATTGTTATTATCACTATTATTATTATTATTATTATTATTATTATTATTATTATTATTATTATTATTATTATTATTATTATTATTATTAATATTATTATTATTATAACTATTATATTATTATTATATTTTTATAATGATAATAATTATTATATATTATGCATATATATAGTTTTTCTATTCTATAACATTATAATATTATAGTTTAATATAATTTTTCAAATTTTGATACACAAGATCTGGTCTTATTTCTCGATAAAATAATGACTAAACAAACGACTGCTTTAAGCTTTGTACATTGGCACATGCTGCATTATATATGACTAACTCTATAATATTGAGTTTGCAGATGGATGTTACCTGAAGATGTACAAGCAGCACCGATATTTGACGCGATATCTTTATGTATCGCGAATATTATCAATGGTCTCAATGACTCTTTGGTATTTGTCACATCAGACATTTCTTTTTACCTGTATGTATTTTAAACTTATCGTTTCTTCCAGGCAATGTCCCCGTAGTGTTAATACCTCTTAATAGCAGATCCTCTCTATTTCCCCCGAAAAAATTATTATTAGCGCCTTGTAGAAGATATAATAAGCCATGTAATTTATCCATCGTGCTGCATGGTGAACTAGCAGCTCCTCGTACGGATCATCCGTCTACGAAAATTAACGTCTCTCGTTAGAAGAACGAAGCCATTAGGATCTCAGCACTCGACTACGAACTTTTTCGTATATTAAGCATCTTCGATAGCAGGTAATCCTCGATAAAGTACTCATTACCACGCGATTCTCCAATCGATACTCGACCAAGGAATTTATATATGATGATGGATTGTTTCGAATTAAAAAAAAAAAGAAAAAAAACCGTATAATTTCTCTTGAACAAAGATAGTCGAGAACGTGTCGAAAAGTGTTTTTATCGGTACTCACGTGTTCTTAATCTCCGATATTAGTGACCCAACGATTACCAGAAGCCATCCAATGCAGGAAATAGTTCTAACTAGGTAAGGCAACAAAGTCTTGTCTATACTTTTTCCCTTGTACATGTATATATCCTATTTAAACATTTTCAATAAATTTATCAGAAATCTGGAATATTTAACTCTTGGGTTTCTGCTACACTACATATCTTGCTCGCTGTTAAATGCTTTCAAGACGAAATAATATCGTATATATATATATATATATATATACCGTGAGCCCATCCAGATTTCCATCCTCTCGGTGATTTTTAATGTTGAAACATAACGCGTGTTGTAAATTAATTTTGAAATTCGCATCGCTCTTCAGGATCTAAATTTAAACGAGGATAGAAAATCTGACTTTTTTTTTATCTGCATCTGAACTCGTAAATTTGTTACCAACAGTGTTTGCTGTAGATAATTTCAAAATTATCTAGATAAAGATAAAAATTGTAAATTTATCTCAGATGAGATAAAGTTGATTTTGCTTTTACTTAATCTAGATGAAAGATGAGATAATTATTGCGATAATCTAGATAATTATCTAGATATTTTTGTTTATTTTAGAAGCCTATAAATATTTGTAAAAAATATGACGCAGATTATAAATAGGATATTAAAATCATAAACACATTCTTTCTCTTTTCTTAAAGAATATTTAATATTATAAAGAAATAAAGAATATAATAATATTATTAATTAATTAATTTTTCTAATATTATTTCTAATATTTAATTAATTTTTATTTTTATTTTATAATTTTTATTTTATAATTAAATGAAATATAATATATTTTATAATTAAATATAATATAATTTATTTTTATTTTATAATTTTTATGTTATAATTAAATATAATATATTTTATAATTAAATATAATTTATTTTTATTTTATAATTTTTATTTTATAATTAATTAATTTTTCTAATATTATTAATTATAAGAATATAAAGAATATTTAATATTATAAAGAAATAATAGCAAAAAGGTATATAAATGATATGATAAATATTTATTTAGTAATTTATAATATATTAATAATAATATAAAAAATATATTTTGGATATTTTAGATAGATTTTTAAAAGCTTGACTGGAAAACTTTTTTGCATAATGAAAACGTCATCTTAGGCAATTTTTAGATAAGATGGCACATTTTTCATCTAAGATAAAGATAAAGATACTTTGTATTTCTTCATCTAGTTATAGATAAAGATGATCCATTTCTTTATCTAGATGATTATCTAGATAATTTTATCTAAATACCAGCAAACACCGGTTGCCAATGTACGAATGCATATTTAAGGCCTCTGGATAAAGTGGAATTTTTAATACATGATTTTTCGTGTACGTACATGACCAATGAAATGTTTAAACATTTATCAGAGAGAGAATTGAAATTTGTGTGGGGCAAATAATTCCAACACCTTTAATAGAGAAAAAGAGAGAGAAAGGGAGAGCGAACGAGAGAGAGAGAGAGAGAGAGAGGGTGAAAGGAATAGTTAAAGAAGGAAGAAAAGATCTGGGATGAATTAGAGAAAAATATCGTGAGAATAATATGTTTTCACACTGAACCGATGCGTGGAGACCCCATGGATTGAAAGTAGCACTGAAAGTGCACGAATTCTGAAGCTGCATATCCGACGTCTTCGAGCAAGAAGGCCTTTAGGACCAGCAGAGACCCCCTTTACAACGACTGATTCGTCGGGCTTGGCGAAGAGATCCTTCTTCCTTGCCAATAATTATGTTAGACGACTGAATTGAAAGACGGAAAAAGAAAAAAAAACCTAGGTACTGGAAAACTGCCGCTAGCTTAGGGTAGAAAAGAATAGAAGGGGAAAGGGTCGAAACTAGTTGGGCCAAACTTTGGAGCTTGAGCACAAACTTTTTTTTTTTTTTTCGAAACATGTAATTCTACAAAATTATCAGAAAGAGAGAGAGAGAGTGCTGTTTATTGTAAGATTATCTCGATGTCGCATCAATAATGGCATTTTTTGATAAGAAAAAATTATGTAGATGTACAGTGCTGGCCAAAAATATTTCACCTTTATGTTTTTTTTTTTAACTTAAAAAAAAATATATTTAAAGTGTATATATTTCTCTCTAGTCACATGTTTTAATAGTAGGTATTTAGATTACTTAACAATAGACTTTCCATTGAATAATGAACACTGCAACTTCAGAAAAATTAATTAAATATATACACTTTGAATTAATTTTTCTTCAAGAAAAGGTATATGTTTTTGACCGGTACTGTATACAGAGTGTCTCAAAACTCATAATGAATCTTTCAAAGACAGATTCCTAGGATCATTTGGAGACGATTTTTCCTAAGCGAAAATGTCGATGAAGACCATCATTTTTGCACGTTCCCAATTTTTGTTATCTTATCTTTGCAATTAAGCCTTAAATTAAAACTAAAGTAAACTCTAAAATTAATCGAAGAATGTGGTTTTGTTAATATTTTATCTCTACAAAGCTTAGTTTACGAAAATCCCCTTATTTCCAATCACTTGTAATTCGAAAATTACTAGTCCCTCGACATTTTCGTTGAGGAAAAATCGTCTTCGGATGATCCCAGGAATCCGTCTTTGAAAGATTCATCATGAGTTTTGAGACACCCTGTATATTTATTTTTTAAAAATATATATTTATATACAAAAATGATATTCATTATATCATTTGAGTTCGCTTTGAATGGACTGTCACAATTGTAAGTTCCGTGCTCTTGCTGGGAATTTTGGTGCAACAATCGCATACGAATGATCTCGTGAATTTAAAGAAATAAGATTTTGGAGATTACATAAGATTCCGCAATAAAAAAAAAATAAATGGGAACAGACGTAATCTTGTAAACCGGGTGTCGTTCTTGACACGTGCGGATCCGAGAGTTCCGAAGTCGTGCGACGCATGCACGAGCCGATGTTTTTGCGACTGTCTTACGTCGACGCACGTGTCGCGCTTCTACTGGCATTTATTAACCGTTCGACGCACATTGACCCGCGACACGACTCACACACACTCGGTGTCTCTTTGCGCGGCGTCTACGTCGCGAAACTTATATATCCCGATATATCTACGAGAATGAAAAATATTCTATCTGAACGCATGCAAATATATACGCGTGACGATTCATTCATTCTTTGTTTCACGGTTATTACGTTTTTCTACGATGCCAAGCCTTGCAAAAGAATTTTAGCTTAAAATACATATATGCATTAAGAAGATATTTTCAGTTTTTTTTTTTTTCGGTTTTACGGCAACATGTAATTTTATAAAATTGTCACAGAGAAAGAGAAAGCGGATACTATTTATTAGAAAATTTTAAATCGCAAACAAAATTATTGATTAATGTTGCAATAATAATGCCATTTTTTTGAAAAAGAAAAAACGATAAAAAAGTATATAATTTATTTATAAATATATTATTTGTACAAAAATAATGATATAATTAATTGAACTTATATAATACGAAATACGTAGGAAATTACAGAACATTTATTTTATTTGATTATTGATTATTGATCTCTTCTTTTCTATACATATTTGAAAGCTTAGAATGTATAAATGATACATAAATAAATGTTGTTTTTTCAAGTAATTTCAAGAAAATATTTCAAATTAAATAATACAGGAATTAGAATGTTGAATGTTGTTAAATTTAAAATTATAAATACAAAAATAATTTTACTTGATAAAATTTATTCACATATTTAGAATAATAAAATTATTATTTTTAACACAAAATATAACATTTTTTTTTCGAAATTCATGCTTAAAATTGATTAAATATATATTTATTTTTCCAATTATATATCCTAACGAATTAAAAATTAATTCATTTAAATAACTCTAAAACGCAAAATATTTGTATACAATCAGGTGGAATATTTTTATTCTCTTATATTGGATACATCTCATATTGTGAATTATACTGTGATTTAGATTAATAAATATACAATAACGCATGAATAATAAATCATCTAATGGTAAATATATCTGAAAATTGCTGCCTCATTTAACATACAACATAGTTGGCAATATATTCTCAATTGTAGAACGTAAAGTCTAACGTTGTTCTTCGGAACGTACGTTTAAATTTATTTCTCGAATATGAAAAAAGTCTCTACCAAACAGAAAATTTGTTGTGACAAAACATTTTTATATTATTTGCGCTGGTTATTTAATAAAAGTGTGTTAATTGTTATTCCCGTGTAAACGTACAGACGATATACTATTTCGAGTATACTTTCGAATTTATTTCTAAAATAAATGCCAAGCTCTCATTGCGCATGCGATTACAATCTGTAAACAGATCGTCTCTATAATATATCAATCGAAATTTATTCAAGTAAATTTATTTCGTTCTGTCTACCTGTACATTTATGAGAGTTATAATTTATACGATGATAAAGATTGAACGGAGATAAAAGAGATATGATATATAGATAAGTGTTTGTATTTTATTATTAATTTTATGAGAGATATATACATATATATACAAACGAGAAAAAAGTTTATTTTTATTATAATTTTTATAATTTTTATAAAGTTTAAAAATTTATTTTTAATTATTAATACGTATGTGAAAATTTCGTCAGTTTCTTTTTTGGGGAAAATTGGAAATAGTTTACGCTCGTTATATGTTGTATCATATACATGTATACGTTTCATACAAAGTCAATAACATTTAATAATATTAATATAAATATGTCTGAAAAATTTTATTAATAATTTTTAATTTTATTAAAAATTTTATTAATAATTTTTAATTTAATATACGTTTTATATACGTTCGTTATTAATGAGAGACGGCATCTGAATTTATACTTGCTAAATTCAAATTCTTACGAGATCTGGCCTCAATGTCGTATTGTCAAATAATTTTTGATAAGTACAACGCAAATATATATTAAAGACTGAGAGTCAAGAATACGTTAAAACTCTTGATGCGCTTTATTAGCAAAAGTTTACACGAATTATCTGTTCAGAAAATAGATAAATGTAGATCATGTTTTTTTTTCTTTCCACAGATTATTTCTCTGTAGAAATAAAAAAAATGAACTGTATAATGCAACCTGTACACACTCTTCCTTAATTTTTTTTTTAAATTTATTTCTATCGAGTTTATATTATATCAGTGTTGTCAAAATATGGCTTAAATAGTTTTTAATATTAGTATATATATATCTATCTGTTATATTCGGATTTATGGATATAAGAGTTGAGTATTTAGATGGTATCCAAATATTGACAATACTATTTTTTATAAATATCCTTCAAATTTAAAGAAACTTGAAAAAAATAGCTATTTTTGATATGAATTATATTTTGTTTGTAGTTTGTCATGAATTAAATTCATTTTCATATTATTTGTAGGATGGAACTGTAATTTTGCATAAGGAGAGCATTTATGCACGATGGACGATGATGAGTTATTATTTTGCACTTGATTACTAAATAGATTTTTAAATTGTTATTTTTAAAATAATTTTTTTTTAAATTTTTTTAAATCAATTTTTTAAGAAGTTACTAATATATTTTTTTTTAATTTAAATAATATTCTGTGTCTGTTTTCTCCAGTTGCATCCTCATAACATAAAAATCTCTTACACATCAAATCATCAGCAAAATTTCATTTATACAATAATTCTATCATCAAAGTTTCATTCAGCATTAAAATAATTTGGGTTTATTTTTTTATTTGCTTAACGAATAAATGTGTCATTTATAATATATTTCTAATTATAAATTATTTATATTTTTTTTGCTTGTAATTTTTTCTGATAATTCTTTTTTTGTTTTTTATAGTTATTTCATTTCAGAAATATATAACTGCAATTATTTTCTGTTTTATATAATTTTTACATAGTAATGTGAATTAGAAAGTGTGTAAAAATTATACACGAACACAGTTTTTTCATAAAAGAATATAATCATTTGAAACAATATCTGTGATATTTATCTTATATATTTCGATATTATAATAATAATAGTGATTTGAAGTAATATATTTTTATGTAAAAACAATACAGTCTTAATTTTTTAATTTTCTCATATTTATATCGTAATAAGTTAAATTAGTTTATTTAGGAAATTTATTTTAAGTATATATATTTACAGTATTTTAGAATATAGCTAATTTGTTTGAAATATTGAAAACTTGATTTAATATAATTAATACGATTCGCTTCTTATTTATTTTCTGTCATTTTATTATTTTATATAACATAAAAGTAATTTTAAATATATTATTCGAAATATAATAAAATTAAAATTGAATGAACAGAGAAACATTCGTTTTCTTTCAATAAATATTAAACGTTAAAACATTACAAAGAAAATAATTTTTTAATCAATAATTGCTTCTAAAGATATAAGTTTAATGATGCATAATTGTATAATTTTATAATTTATATTTTTAAACTGTTATACATTTATAATTTATATTTATACCTAGCTACTAGTTATATCTACATATATCTTACTGACATTCTATGTATCACTAAAACATTTAAATAACATTGCCATTCTTATTAACAAATAATTTTTAATTCTTATTTCAATATATATATTCTTTATCTTATATTTATATACTTATCTATTTCCTTAATTATAATATTTTTAAATCGTTACATGTTATGATTTATGTAGGACGATGCAGTAACTATAAAATGTACCAGCTTAAATTGGATTTTTTAAATTACAGGATATATTGGAGGCAAAATAAAATTTACTGAAATTATTCTAGCAAAGAAGTTATGGAGAATATCTTTCCTGAAAGACAAGAAGCTTATTTGCAGCTACTGAAAAATGCGAGAAATTTTTTATCTTTCAGATACATAGTGACTATCAATAAAATAATCAACGAATTATCTCACAATATTCCCAATATTAATAATCTTTATGTGACAGTATCTATTCAAGTCATGTTTATTTGCAGAACGGATCGAGGGTGTGAAACGAGACTATTTAGAAATATAACAAAATTAATTATGTGAATGTTTTCTAATTTCTGAGCATAAATTTTAAAAGTAAATTCAGCGCGCAAATAAACAGTTTTTATATGAATATGTTTTTATATGAATATGTTAAAAAATAATATTGTTAAAAATCATCAAAAATACAAGAATTATTTAATGTTAAGAACAGTTACAATTAGATATAAAAAGTCAAATGAAATATACATCAATTTCTACTATCATCTTCGCGCGCTGAATTCATTTACAAAATTATGCCAAGTTGAGAGAAATATTTTATTTATGAATATCTAGAACGTAATATGAAATGCATTGTTGTTTTCCAGAATCATCATTTACTACGGAATTATTTTTAAGACATTTTCCGAATTTTATTATTATATATATTTTGCAGTCTCTTCCTAATAAATTTATCGATTTTAATAATATTAATATAAATATGTTGAAAAATTTTATTAATAATTTTTAATTTAAATTAATTTAAAAAAAAAAATATATATATATATATATATATATTTTTTTTTATAATATATAATGTGTCTATATAATGCAGCATATTTTGAAATATTATTTGTACAAGTTATTTTAATTTATTTTTAAGTCGATTTGCTATTGCGAATTATTCGCGAATAATTAATAATAAAATAATTTTTATTTCCAGCGATGATGCTACAGGAGAGCGATATGTTCATGGATGCTCTCACCGCGTCTACCAAGAGCAAAGAACCGAGGAAACGCAAGCGTAGGACTTCTATCACGAAGGACGGGTCGTCGGAAGCTAAGAAGCAAGAGACCGCTAACGCTGATAATCGCGAGAGCACACCACCTTCCTCGCCCACGAATGTCGAAGAGAAATCGCCAATTGCCCTCAAACCTAATTTCAAGGTAATTATACCGGATACAAGTCGCTGTGAAAAAAATAATATATTAATTGGACTTATTTTTAATTAAGATTCACTTGTCCTCGCGCATTTTCTAAAGCACAATGTGCTTCAATCGCATTAAATTTTGATAAGTGATTAGAGATAGAATTTTATTTTATTTTATTTTTAAAAAATTTTTTTTTACTTTGAACTCGAAGCTAAAGTGTACTAAAGCAGAGAATCGATTTTATTTTATTTTATCTAGAAATATATTTTTTATATCTGAAATATATATAGAATTAATAATAAATTAATAATTAAAATAATAAATTAATAATTAAAATAATAAATTAATAATTAATTATGAAACTTATTTTTTATAGTTCTATCAAGATACATTGGAAATAGAAGAAGACAAAGATCAAAGAGAGAGAGAAAACAGCGAAGAAGACTCGAAGAAAGATAAAGATCAAGCGCTTGAGGACGAGAAGGATAGCAGGGACGAAGATGATATCAGAAGTAATAGTAAGTATCTTAACTTGTCAAGTAAGCAAGAAAGAGGAAAACTAATTTGCTTTCTCATTTATTAAAAAATATATAGAACATATAAATAATTATAAATTCATAAACGTGTTTATTTTATTTATAGATATGCTTTATATTAATATATTCTTATCGTACTAATATATTATTATTAATGCAATTTTACATTATAAACTTTCATATGCATACTCTTGTATTGAAATAAAATTAATTTTCTCTACATAGTATATTTAATAATAAATTTAAATATTTAATAATTTATTTATAATAATATATTTAATATAATATAATATATTTATAATATAATATATATAATATATATAATATATATAATATAATATATTTAATATATTTAATAATTTATTTATAATAATAATATATTTAATATTATTTAATATTTATAATAATATATTTATAATAATTATTATAATAATATATTTAAACAACATATTTATTTATTTATTTTTTCCATAGCACCAACACCCGAAGAAGATGTGGAAGATACAAAAGATTCGGAATCGCCAGAAGATACGTCTTCCATAATTTCGAACTCGTTGAAGAAGGACGATACTAGTCCTTATCCCGAAATACGATATGTAGATGGACTTAAAAGTGTTTTGCTGCTTCAAAAACGTAAAGGACCGAAGAAAGTTTTGAAGTGGAAGACAGAGATAGAATCCATACGTTACTTTGAATTGGACGAAACGGAAAGAGTTAATGTAACAAAAACATTTACCGATATGAAACAAATGGAAAAACAAAATGAAAGAGAGGCATTCCAAATGGCCAGAAAATTAAGTACGTTAAGTTACATATATGTAATTATATAATTGTAATTTTTTTATTTACAACTATTATAAAATATCTGTATCAATTACACTTATATAGTTGCAAATATACTGCAGTTGTGTTTCTTTCAATTATATACAGATTTTCTAAGAAGCTATCTTGAGAAGATGCATTAATATATATGTTTTTATTATTAATTAGATATATAAATTATATAAATTAATTTATATAATTATATAAATTATATATTTATAATTATATATTTACATAAATTATATAAATTAATTTAAATTTCATCAAATAATTTTATTATATAAAGTATAAAAGTATCCCTAATACGATGAAATTTATAAGAATAAATTTAAATCCTTAATAGTTTCTTGGAAAATGGCTATGGATAGAAAATGCTTATGGACATAAATTTTATTTTAAATTTTATGGGACAAAATTTGTATATATTAATAAAATATATATACACATATATATATAGAATATTTTTTTTATTAGATAACGAGGATTTAATGGAGGAGAGAACAAGGTGGAAGCCTCTAATTCCTATTGATCAACCGCCTCCATTAGTAGAGCCTGGCAAGGATAGTAAAGAGAAGGATATTCAATATGCGCGCGAGAAGGGTATTCTTCAAGCGCTTTACTTTAATCGAAGCATGTAAGTATACGTTTGCAATTATTGTTGTAATATACCGAGTTATCAATTTTATTTCGATAAGTGTTTTCGTCATACATTATTCATATTCCGCGAGCAAAATGGAATATTTTTATTTTTATGTTTTATATTTTTATTTTTTATTTATTTATTTTTTTTTTTTTAATTTTTTTTTTATTATATTAAAAATATGCCCCTTTTAGGGGCACATTTTTTGTGTGAGCTCAACAATAAAGATCATGATGGTTTTATAGGTTTTTGGGGTCACTGATTACAAATCTGGCATCATAATTTCAAAATTCAAGATGGCGGATTATATCTTAGAAATATTGACAATTCATGGATTTTTTTCTCAAAAACTACACATCTAATCGAAAAAACATTAAGAATACTTTCTTCTTCAAATTATATGCAAAATATGATAAGATTTTTTAAAATTGAAAATTATCAGATTTTAGATATGTCATCCGCCATTTTGGATTTCTAAAATCTGAGGCCATCATTGTGATCAGAGACCCCGAAAACCTATATATGTGCAATTTGGGGTTGATTCAACAAGACCTGTATTCAAAACTGATTTTTTTCCGAAAAAATAGTGCTTTTTTCATATTGATTATTTATTAATTAATTATTGTCAACCCCCAGTGAAAAGTGATGGAAGATTACAATATGTAGATAATCAGAAGTCTAAGGATCTTAATTGCATGCATATAACTGTCGTAATACATTCATAATGAGAAAAATAAATAGGTGTATCATATATGATACACCGCCCCTCAAAGGGTTAAACATATGATTATCATATAAAATGTATATTTATTTGACATGTTAGAAATATTAGAGAGATAAAGCAAAATGATGTCCACTCATATTATGGTCCAGAATACATAATTGTGCTAAAATTTTTAATCAATCGATAATTTCTAATTACAATTTTTTTTTTTTAATCGTAGGATCCCAGACTCCGCGGCTGAACCCGATGAAGAACGGCATCATGTGATGACCGATCCTAAAATAATACCGTTGGACGATCTCACGGGCAATAAGGAAAGCGAAAAGGACTTTACATCGGTGCCATGGCCGGAACCCAAGCCACAACTGGCACCGCAACCGCCGACCGTGACAACGTTCCATTATCCCACGACGTTCTCGCACAATCAGCAAACCATGATGACGCCTATGGGACCTCAATCGACGATGGGTCAGATGCCACAGATGCCTCAGCAGATGATGCCCCCATCGCACATAGCTCCAATGGCTCAGGAGCTTCCGGGACCAACGATACCGGGCGGCGGCGGTGGTGGTTGGAGAACGGGCGATGGCAAGGTTCTCGTGCCAGACGTTGGGATGAACCCGATGGGGAACATACCGGGTAGTTTCAATCAGGGAATGGAGGGCGGCCCGATGGTCCCACCGGGAATGATGGGACCACCGCCAATGTACAATCAACAGCAGGAGGGCTACGGTATGATGTGTCCGGAAGATATGGGATTCAGCAACATGAATCCCAATTTCCAAGGGCCACCTGGACCGATGTATGGTCCAGGACCTAATCCCTTCCCAGGTCCAAGAGGAGCCCCCATGCACAACAGAGGTAGAGGAGGCCCCGGTTGGGGATATCGTGGAGCTGGACCCCCGAGAGGCGGTTGGCGTGGCGGTGGTGGTGGCTGGCGAGGAAACGGTAAGCAGCCACCGGTGTGTAGGCAGTTTTCGAAAAACGGTTATTGTCGAATCGGTGACAAGTGTCAGTATCTTCATCCTGGCGTGAACTGTCCGCCCTTTTAAAAGTGATTGAGAACGATATTTATTAAGTAATTGAATCCATCATTGGTACGCAATTAGAAAAGTGTCTTCGATTAGGATAGGTGTGTCCGCAAGGGAGGAAAAAATTAGAAGAAACGAATGGGATCGACGTCAGGGTTGCAATGATAAACTGTTATTATTCTAACGATCTTCCCATTCGATGACGATTCGCTTGGAAAGCAGATGCAACAAGGAATGCGCCGACCTGTAAAAAAAAAAGTATCTAAATGTGCAATTTTTATTTTCTACTTTTTTTTTGTAAGAGCCAATTGCATGAATATATTAATTAATAAGAGAATTTCTCTATTTAATAATACTCGATGCGCTTGAAGATGGTTTTGTAAATATAATGGCATTTCTCCCCTCAGCATAAGTATTTTACACAGACTCTCGCAGCATTCGAGTACTGTCAATATCCATAATATTTCAGGTATTATCCAAATATCTATTTCAAATAATATTACATAATTTTATTTTGTTATCTGAAAATAAGTAGAGCGAAAAGCACAGATATTTTCCAATTAGACAGGCAGAATTTTTAATGTGTAAATACGCATATTAATATTACATTTTAAATAGACTAGTATTCACAATTTGGAAAAAATGGATGAAGAGCCAGTATGGTTTATATTGACAGTACTATGCGATATCATCACTTATAAATGCATTGTAATATGAAATATGACCATGCTAGGTTCGGCTGCTGGACAGCGGAACATTTCTAGCTAACATCTCGAAAATATAGAGATATCTTTCTACTATAATTTAATTTTTGATTTTCAATTTAGTTACAATGACCTCCACACTTGTAATGCATACAAGATTTTCTTTTTGTTTGTATTTTCCACATTTACATGGCCACTGCCGAAATTATGGTTCTATATATTTTTCTTAGGAGTCCTGTGACTGGAAGAGAAATCACAGAAAGATGAAACTATGTGATTGCGCTAAGCATCACACATATCCTTGGAACTGCATTGTCTAGTATCGCTATTACTTTGCGTTTCGAACAATAAAATTCTGAAATGTAGAGAGATATTCATGATAATATTCGATATAACGCAGCATAATGAAACACCAAAAAAAGGTTTCAATAGGATAATCTCATACTTTTCATAATTATAATTTCTGTGTGTGAATTATACTTGTAAATATGTTTGCATAATATGTAAAAAACAATAATTCTAATAACGACAGACTGTTAGGCTTAGTCGATACGCAATGCTAGAGATGAGGACGATAGTATTTAATAGAAATCATATATGTCCTTAAAAAATAGAAAAAATTATATATATATTTATTATATATAATTATATATAAATTATATATATATATATATATATATATATATATAAATATATATAGTCGATCTGATCTTATTCGAACCACAATTTTTCAAGATATGTATAGAATCAATAATACTTCTTTAATAATTCAACCCGTCATTGTAATATTATATTGCAAGTTTTTTACTATGTAAGATAATATTGATTATATCTTTTTGTATATGATTAATCGTTATGTTTGTATATAACGTGTTGTATAAAAGCGTCGCTTAATGAAAATATACCCATCACAATTATTTTTTCAAATGGCCCAATAATTTCGTGAACGCAAAATATCCTCAATCGTAATTAATTCTTAAATATTATATACCAAGCTCTTTGAAGAGGGATTGCATTCTATATATTTCTATATAATAATCTTAAATAAATTTAAATATAATTAAATTTAATTTCAATAAATTAAATTTATTTTTAACAAATTATGAAAATTCTAATTCTATGATGTACATCAATAGATAGTACAATTATCAGGGTTGGGTAATAACTAGTTGATTAGTTAAAAGTTAAAAAAAAAGTTAATAATTTTTAACTCAACTTAGTTAATTTAAAAAGAGTTAACTTTTAACTTTAACTAGTTATTTTTAAAACACATAAACTTATTAATTTTCCCCCCAAATTTATTTGATGATTCATATTATTATTTAGAGTAATCTAATTTTAAAATTACAATCTAATTTAATATAAAGTGAAATAATGCTTTTCAAAATTTTAACTTTTATCTTAACTAACGTTATTTAATCTTAACGTAACTTTTATTGAGTTATTTTTTATTTGTATAACTTTTAACATAACTAAATTAATTTTTTAACCCATTAACTTTAACTTAATTTAGTTTTAAAAAAATATAAACTTACCCAACCCTGACAATTATCGTATTAAATATTTATGTTATATATTATACAGATTCACTTATATTTTATTTATATATTTAAATGTTCATGAAAGAAAAAAGTTATTTTTGAGGACATTATTTAAATGTAATTCCCAATGGAATAGCAAGCAAAAAATTGATATTATAAGGATTAATTAATGAATATAAGAATAAATCTCGACTTTTGAGCAATAGGAAGTATAAAACAATCTCTATAAATATCTAATTATTTTTGCTTCAAATGTGTATTCATTTGAATTGTTGAGGTGGCGGTCCAAAGATACTACCGCTCTGCTTACTTGCAGTTCTGGATGGTGCAAAGCCAAGTATCTTCTGGATGTTCTAAAATTAAAGATAAACATGTAATAAAAATATCTTGCTATAGAAATTGAAATACGTATAAAATGTGAAATTATAAATGAAATTTACCTGTCTGATACTCATAGTGCATAATATGTACAAAAATATGAAAGAGCATTCGGTATAATCGTCACCAGGAAGATTTCTGTGCGACAAGCCCTGAATCCAGCTAATTGGAACAAACGGTAATCTGGCAACAATTCGTCCATCAAATATATTATTGAACATACTTAAAAGCGCTGTAAATGCAAATCCAATTGCAAACATTGACTTCATCTTCACAAGAGACAAATCACGATTATTGTTCTTCAATCTTTCCTCCTCTCGCTCAATCTTCTTTTTCTGCTGTTTGTCTAGAGAATCGCCATGTGCTTCTTTCCTTTTTTCCACTAACAGATAAAACAATTTTATATATACAATTTTTATAGACATAATATATATATATATATATATATAATTGCAAATATATAATTATATTAAATATATATAATTTAATCATATATATAATTAATTGCAAATTATATATTTTTTTTCTTCCAAACAATTATGTCTTCTTTATACCAATTGATACCTCATTATTTTGTACATAAAAGTATTAAGGTAGGATAATCGAAAAATGAATATTTTACTAGATATTTTATGGTTTATATAAAATTAAAACATTATTTCAAGCCTCATAACTCGAAAAGTGCTCAATGAAAAAATATAATATTTATTATAGTGTTTTGAAAAGCTCTCAAAATAAGCTACAAGAGCTTTTTTTTGGCAAGAGATTGCCCTGACACCCTGTATATATTATAGATGTTTAAAATTACATATCTATTCTATAAACTTACACTTTTTGCTCTGCTTTTCAACTTCAGCCTTTAATTTTTGATATTTTTCAGTTCTGTACACCATTAACCACGTTAGTCCTAAAAGCATCGAGTAAATATATTAAAACAAAATAAGCATTTTATATGCATTTCCTTTCAAATTTATCATCTAACTTAACATATTTATTTTTACAGATATAAGAAAATTTATATAGTTTTACCTTCACCCAATAACGCTGTACATACGCTGATGAATACAATTAGGATAGTGTCTGCCCACATTTTTGCAAGTGGATATTTTCATTTATTATTAATTCATATATTCAACAATCAATTTTGTTGATAAAAAATTAGCATGAATGTCCACTATTTTATCAAATTTTCCGAGTCACCAAAAGCACTATATGTACAATGAATGGGAGCTGAAATGTCAAATTAGACGATGTTATGCACGTGTCAATTCGAAATATTGTATATATTAAAAAAAAAATTTCTCAAATTTTCCTTATTTTATTTTTTTAGTGAGATGTACACATTATACATTTACAGGTTTATTCTTCTATTTTTCACTTCAAAGTCCAGCTGTGCACGATACACGTTCGAGGTTTCCCTTATTTCAAAAATCTCTATTTTAAATCTTTCTTTATTTTAAGCCAGGATTTTTTCCAAAACAATAGAAAGAAAATTCTCCTCGCTCGCAATTTTTCTTCTCTTGCCCGAAAAAAAAGTGTTTCACGTGAAAAATGAAATAATCGCAATATGATGCAGTCATTAAAATTGAGAATGTGTTCGGAAATTCTATTCGTGAGATAAGATAGCGTTCAATTAACCAATCAGAAGCAAAGGTTTCTCTGCCAATTGAAATTCAGATTTTAGAACGCGCCCTGGATGAGACTTTCAATCAAATGTATAATAAATTATAATAAAAATTATATAAATATATAATTATAATTTATAATTATATAATTTATAATTATATAAATTAAATATAATTTATAATTATATAATTTATATTACATAATATATTATTATATAAGTTATATAATTATGATAAAAATGTATAATAAAATTTATAATAATTTATAATAAAAAATTATTAATAATTTATAATAAAATTTATAATAATTTATAATAAAATTTATAATAAAAAATTAGTAATAATTTATAATAAAATTTATAATAATTTATAATAAAATTTATAATAATTTATAATAAAAAATTAGTAATAATTTATAATAAAATTTATAATAATTTGTAATAAAATTTATAATAATTTATAATAAAATTTATAATAAAATTTATAATAAAAAATTATTAATAATTTATAATAAAATTACATAATTTATAATAAAAAAATAGTGCAAAGGAGGGGGATGTTCCAGTTTATCGAAAGACCTCTCTATTCAGAATAGGGGGTTCAAAATATAAGGGTTCTATCGCATTACGTTATTACGTCTATGTGTGATTGCATCTTTGCCAAACCTTTTGTCACACAATTTACTGACTGTATTGTAAATAGGGGGGAAGTGCTATATCTTGACATTTACTGTTTATTGGATCCGTAAAGTTTCTTTCATGTGCTAAATAGAATACTGATCTTACTTCCATTAGTTTATTCCTCGGTAAGCAATTAATTTTTCTGACATTCACCTCTGTCTATTCAGACATTTTTTCATTTAAATGAATATATAAGCTCGAGAAATTTACATAATTGCCTTTGATCTTCTATATCACAGAAGGATCTCTTTTTTTTCATTCCATCTATAAATTTTACTGAAATTTTGATGATTTATTATCGTTCACTATCAATTAATAATCAACAAATGTTATTTTTGTATTACTTTTTTTACAATATCATTTCTGAATTTTTCCAACAAATTCTGTCACCTCTGTTCATTAGAAGATCTATTTACTTTAATGAAATATTCATCTAAAAAATTTAGATTTAAATTTTAAAAAATTAAAGGAAATTTAAAAAAAGATTTAAAATTTAAGAGAAAGTGTTTTCTATTAATAGTTCTATTTTATTAAATTTCTATTAATAGTTCTTTTTCTGGGTGTGCAGATAATGCTTCGAGTAATAAGGATGTTAAACTGAGGACAGCAGATTCGCTTAATAATTACTTTCATCATTATTCAAGCGATGCCTATACACAACATAATGTCTGCTTATGAAAACAATGATTGTGTAATTGTTTAAATTACTCGAAGGAAAATGTCCGGACAGTCCTCCTCTGAAAATGATACTGATAAAAAATATAGTAATTCGTTAAAATATGACGAAACAAACAGTAAGAATCATGATGAAGATATATGCAGACACAAGACTAAGGAAAACAACTCGAATATCGGTGATAAGGAAAAATATAATCGAGAAAATGAGGTAACAGGCAACACGTGTATCGATGAAAACAAGAACAATGTTTTGCTCGCGTCGAAAATTCAAAATATGATGAAGAAGATGGGATACAAGCCGGGGAAAGGTCTTGGAAAAAATGACCAAGGTCGTGTTGAACCAGTGGAAACTGTTATTCAACGTGGTCGGAAAGGATTGGGACATTATATACACAAGGTTAACAGAAAAAAATCAAATAACGGGGATATCGTTAATAACGTAGAGGAGGAGAATCAAACTCGAGAGAGTGAGACCGCAAACAACGCACATATTGATGAAACCAGGAGCAATGTGTTACACGCGTTAAAAATTCAAAATATGATGAAGAAAATGGGATACAAACCAGGGAAAGGTCTTGGAAAAAATGATCAGGGTCGTACAGAACCGGTGGAAGTAATTACTCCGCATGGTCGAAGAGGATTAGGGTTTATCGCATCCCAAATTTCAAAGAAAAAAGTTGCAATTCTCAAAAAGGTTCCAATCGCACCTTCCTCCTTTCCTTCTTCTCCCGCTCCTCCTCCTTTCAAAGACTGAAAATATATGATTATTTTATTTTTTACATAGGAAGTGTAACAAAATGTAGCCGAATGAAAGTGTTCCTTTTAAAGATTCAGAATGGTTACTTTTAGTCCTAATTCTTGTGCAATCCCAATTCTCTTGATTTTGCTCTCTTTTATTTTATTTTTCGCTTTCTAAATCCATATCCATTATCAGACAAGTAGTTCCATGCAACTTTTAATCAGGGACATGTGAAACTTGGCTAAAATTAAATGGTTTCTGATTTGATTATTTAGGCGACTATTCTGTTGTGGAATTATAGGATGAATGGATTTATTAGAAACTATTATACAGTCAATTTCTTCTTTTTCAGATTTTCCTCTATTTCAAGTTGGCTGTGTTTTCTAAAGTAGAAATTTTTTCTTTGCATTATTCTGCACTTATTCACCTTCAGCCACAAGCTTACATTGGAGTGAAAAGATTAATTAAAGATAAAATAATTTTTGTGCATACGTTATTAGAATGGAAATCGAGAAAATTACTAGATTATAGAAATTGCCTGTAAATTTATCTGTAAAATTATAATATTCTTTCTTTTCCTAAGATGCTCGATTGTATATTAATTTTCTTTTACAGAAAGAAAGTGCAAGTGTGATAAAAGTAAAAACAGAGTAATTTTTTTAATGTATAATCTTGGAGTATCCAAAGAAAGAATATTGTATATGAGAAAACACCTGTATTCATATTTTAAATATTTGAATCAGTGTTAGTTTTTGTATATTCGGTATATTCTATTTATTTATTTTATAAGTTATCGGCACATCTCTTGACAAGTGCATCTTTTAAAAAGTTTAAGAGCATAAATATTATACATACAAATATATTTGTATCTTTTACTATAAAGTCCAATGTGATTTCAAATTTTTTTTTATTTATCTTGTACAAATCACTATATTATGAAAAATGTATTCTTATGATTTCTTAGCTTTAATATATAATAAAGCAAATTATAAATAACTATAATGCTTACACATCATGTTAATAATTACAACGGATAAGAAAATAAAATCTAAAATTATTCATTATTAAATCACCCTGATGTAAAACTTATTTCTCATATATAGAAAAAAAAAGTGCTTTATCATCCATTAATCAGAAATATGTATAAATAATGAGAACTGTAAGTTCAATTCCCACATGTTATTCAAATCCCTGTGCTTGCATCAATATCTATTGTGTCTTAATACATCTTTTGCCGATGATGCATGAAATGTTTACCAGCGTGTCGTTCCAATTTTTCATTTCTCTCATTATTATGACGATCCCAATGATGATTACGTCTACCATGATTCTGATGTTGGTGCTGACGTGACCAGTCGTGTCTACGCGGTTTATTGTACCAGGGATCCACAATTGGTGGTTTCTTTGGCTCCGGTGTTTTAATCTTCATGAAATCATTATCTTCTTCTGTGTAGCGATTTTTAAACTCCTCTTCGCATTCTTCTAAAAATTTCGTTTGCTCGCTCGTCAAAGTGATGTCTGCCATAATTCGATCTTAACAAGAACCTGCAGTTAATTTTAAATATTAATTTGAATATTAATTTTTTATTTAAATTATAATTTTAAATATTATACATAAACTTTATTCACTTCAACTTTACAGTCAAGAAGCGGGACTTGGTTTACAATGTTTCCTTAGTCTCATTCATACATACTTTGTTTCCTCATTTATTTCCTACCTCGTACACTTATATATATATTTTATCTAATTATCCTATCTAATCACAGCCTGTACTCAGTCTTTTTCAACAAAAAGCAAAAGCAAAAAAAAAGCAAAAAACTTTAACATTAAACTTCAAACTTTAACATTTCTTCCTCCAAAATATACCTAGTTCGCTTCTTCTATTTTCTTTCTCTCCTTCATTTTCTTTGCCTTTTCTTTTCAGAATTTCCACAATATATTCCTTTTAATTTTAAATATTGTAAATATTTAATAATATTGTAAATATTTAATAAAAAATATTGTAAATATTGTAAATATTTAATAAAAAATGATTAATGCTAAGAATATAAACATGCAAAAATATAAAGATATACATGCGTGTATGAAACTGAAATAAAAAAAAAACTTACAATTACAGAAACATTTCAGAAAATTCCATGGGCTTGACTCAATCTCTTATTAAATTTTCTATTATATTCTTCACCGGATACATTTGTAAATATTTCTAGCCATCACTCATAAATATAGAGTTGTAAGGTACAGTTAGGTATAGTCTCCGTGTGATGGCGCTGCGTGCGGCCGTGGTGGCGCTAGTGCGCTACTTCGCGTGACGTGCGCAAGGCGATTGGCTGCGTGGTTTTGGCGCGTTCCGTTAAACACCATGCCACTGGGGAGCGAGTAGCAAGTGGGATTGTTTCTGTTTCGAGATCAAAAGTCGGTCCTGTTGCAACGTGTTCAGTTGTGGCTTAGGTAACTATTTTATTTTATTTAATATTTGTAGCACGTGTGTGCAATTTTTTTCAGGCTTAGTCAGTCTGGCTCTATTTTTCTGTAGTTCTATTTTTTAATTTTTAAGAAGATACGTGTGATATGTATATATGTATGGCACGCCGTTTTGCTATTTAATATCATCACAAAAATTCTATCACATTTAAATAATACTCAAGAACAAGGAATTATTATTATGTCTAGACATATTTATAATTCATCAAATTATTATTTAGCTATAATATAATTGAAAATGCAGAATTCAAATTATGTTTAGACAAAATATTAATTCTAAATTTATTTTATGTTATAACATAAATATTTTTCGGGAATAAAAATTATGGACATATAATTTTAATTCCCGAATTTTTATTATGTACATAATTTCAATTAACGAATTAAAATTATGCACATAATTTTATATATATATATATATATATATATATATATATATATATATACCTTAAAGCAAATCTTAAGCCCGTATCACACTTAGCAAGAAACTGACTTAAAAAGAGGAGAGATGAAAAATTAATTATTCTCACAATATATTTTCGATCCTTATAAATATTATAATTATTTTTTATATCTATTATACATGATATATAGTTGACTAAATAAGTATGTGTTGTATATATATATATGATACATATGGATCTTCGAACACTTTTTTACATGATAATACATTTAATCTATTTATCATCTTGTCATTAATATGAAATAACACACAACATATATAGCTATTAAACATATATATCATCAATTATAAATATCAGTTCATTACATCACATTTGATGTACCAAGTGTAATGTCATAAATTATATAAAAGTTGTGCATTACGACAAGAGAGAGAGATATTGATTTAATATTACAATTTTCTTATACATATAGCATAAGTTGTAACAATACTGTCTTTTTTCCCTCATATTGAGCATGTTCAATACATACTGATATATCGATAAAGAAATGTGAAAAGAACAATAATATAATGTAATACAATATAATGTAATACATGCTTTCTAATAGATATAAGTCCATATCTGAACCCTTTTTTATGGATAAAAGTGCCTCTAAAATTGGCTTACAGCCAATCAGAAGACTTACAAGCCACTTTTATCAATAAAAGAGGTTCAGAATATGGACCATGTTTGCTCTGTTGCCATTTCTCATTTTTAAATTCTCAGTGATGAGAATTATTTTTATAAGAGATCTTATCAGCAATCTCCACACATAGTTATGAATAGTTACAATGTAATACTTAATGTAATATTTAATTATGTAATGTAATTTAATTATCCTTTTTATATTGAAGTTATTAAAAATTATTTTAATAAACATAAAAAATATTTCGATCGCAAAAGTTTAAAGTATTATTTATAATTGATTATCTATTAAAAAGAAAGCACTTATTACATTCTTTGATTACAAATACTAAACTTAATTTCCATTAGAGAAAATCCTCCGTAGATGTTACTGTTGCCTCTATCAATAGCCCGAAATCCAATTCTGTGAGACTAGCTGAAAAATGAAGATTGTACTTTAATAAATAAATAAATTTAAAATTTATAAATAAATTTAATTAATAAAATTCAAAAGACAATAGATTGTATTAAGCAAGAATATCGTTGAATATTTTGCACCTTTTGCAGTAAGCAAATCCAAAAAGGTATCTAAGGGTGATAAACGATCTGCGGAAGGAAATGCTGCCAAACCTGGAAGTAATTTAGATTCCATTAGCCAGAGATCATATTTATACCGAAAGATTATTCTTTAAACTTTATTTCTCTTTAAACTCACTATTGTGATGATTCCGATGTTGTAAAGTTCGGCTTCCAGTTCGACTCTGAGATACTTCACCGCACAAAATATTAGCGGCATGTTCTCTGGCTCGTAACATTAAGCTAACTGGATGCAGCCATTGATTTAAGAGTCTTTTTGCACGAGATCTCGGCAAGAAGGACAACAACTTCAACTTTTGAACGACATTCTCTTTCGTATCACTTATATCTAAACAGAAGATTATCAGTTTAAAATATCTGTATACAGGGTGACCCATTTTAATGACCCACCCCAAATAACTTTCTTATTTTTAATTTTAGAAAAAGATGTTTCAGACAAAAGTTGTATGGTTTCTAGGGGGACATAAGATGGTGCCATTAGTTTGACCTTGAAGAGTCACATAAAGGTTACGTGAAGATCATTTTGAATTTCTTAAATGGAACACCCTATATATTTTTGCATATTCTTGTAGTTCATCCCGACAGTTTTCCAAAACACTATAAATAAACATTTTTTCATGAAGTACTTTTCGAGTTATGAAGCTTGAAGTCATTTCTTAATTTTACATAAACCATAAAATATTTTGTAAAATATTCATTTTTCGATTATCTTACCTTAATACTTTTATGTACAAAATAATGAGAGGAATCAATTGGTGTAAAGAAAATATATAGTTGTTTCGAAGAAAAAATATATAATTTACAATTAACAATTACATATTTTTTCTTAAAAATAACTATGTCTTTTCTTTACACCAATTGATTTCTCTCATTATTTTGTACATAAAAGTATTAAGGTAAGATAATCGAAAAATGAATATTTTACAAGATATTTTATGGTTTATGTAAAATTAAGAAATGATTTCAAGCCTCATAACGCGAAAAGTACTCGATGAAAAAATGTTTATTTATAGTGTTTTGGAAAGCTGTCGAGATAAGCTACAAGAATATGCAAAAATATATAGGGTGTTCCATTTAAGAAATTCAAAATGACTTTCACGTAACCTTCATGTGACTCTTCAAGGTCAAATTAATGGCACCATCTTATGTCCCCCTAGAAACCATACAACTTTTGTCTGAAACATCTTTTTCTAAAATTAAAAATAAGAAAGTTATTTGGGATGGGACATTAAAATCTTCCATCTGAATTGCGCTTGAGAAACAACGTTAAATATAAGTAAAGCAATTTTTTGTCGCAGATGCATACCGGCTAGAATGATCTTGGTAACGTCAACTTGGAGTTCAAACACTGAACGTTCGACATACTGTAAAAACATTGAATACTTGAGAGTGCGGTAGCCGAGATAAGTGAAAAATGATGCGAATCCCTGTGGTGCCGGGAATGCGATGTTCTCTATTGCGTGTCTGTATCGTTGCAAAAGCATAAACAGTAACCATCGTCTCGCCTCGTCCAATTGATCTCTGTAGAAAGCAATATTATAAGAGAATATTTCATATACAGAGTGTTTCAGATCAGATCAACTAGAGAACTGGTTATTTCAAAAAAGTAAAAACATTTTCTTTATAAATCGGGTACGTTCTATCGAATGGTGATATTTTCAACTTCTGGTTCCGGCCGGAAATAAGCGATTCAGACCGGAAGTGCATTTTTTTAAATGGAACCCCCTATTTTTCATTGCATTTTCTTGTAGCTTACCTCGAGAGCTTTTCAAAACACTAAAATAAAGTATTTTTTCATTGAGTACTTTCTGAGTTATGAGACTTGAAATCATTTCTTAATTTTACATAAATCATAAAATATCTTGTAAAATATTCATTTTTCGATTATCTTACCTTAATATTTTTATGTATAAAATAATGAGAGGAATCAATTGGTGTAAAGAAAACACATAGTTGTTTCTAAGAAAAAATATATAATTTGCAATTAACAATTCCATACTTTTTTTTAAAACAACTGTATGTTTTCTTTACACCAATTGATTCCTCTCATTATTTTGTACATAAAGGTATTAAGGTAAGATAATCGAAAAATGAATATTTTTCTAAGGAATATTTTTAAATGAATATTTCACTTTAGGAATTTTGGATGGAAGAAAATTTTAAAATATAAAATCTTAAAAGCAAAAGAATTACAGGTTTACATTATATTTTACACTGAATCAAAATTGAACAATCAATTTTAAATTTTATGCCAAAAGAACGTCTCACGTACATGAGATTAAATCCACGTTCTTGCTCGATTCTTGGATCGACGCCGGCCGCCCTGCAAAGTATTTGACATAATATACGCGAAGCTTCCAATTGCGCAGCCACGTATCTCGTAGCCATGGCATGAACGTGTAACGGGGTGCAAGAGCCTCGCGTATGCATGGTCGACGTGTTGTACGTGCCGTTTTTCAGAAGGTACATGGAGAGTTCACGTAAATTGACGGAAACGATATGCTCCTGCTTCGAAGCGGTGCAACTTTCAGTCTCGTTAAACGGTAAACCCGAGTCCAACTTGATACTGCGATTACCCATGAAATCTCCAAGAGGTACTGCAACAAATCTATTCACATCATTTATTGTTTATTGAAGTTCTGGGACAATAAGACATTTTCTTTTTATTTTACATAAAAATTTTTTAAGCTAAATGATAAATAAATGAATAAATGTACAGGGTGTTAGATAAGTATGGAAACAGTCAAATATCTCCGAAAATAGTGGTCCTGTGGGAAAATGTTTCAGACAAAAGTTGTAAGATTTTAAGTGACGCATTACACAATAATATTATTATGACCTTGAAGAGTGTTGTTAAGGTCACGTGAAGGTCATTTTAAATTTCTTAAATGGAATCCCCTATTTTTAATTATATATTCTTGTAACTTACCTCGAGAGTTTTTCAAAGCACTATAATAAAGTATTTTTTCATTGAGTACTTTTCGAGTTATGAGACTCGAAATCATTTCTTAATTTTACATAAACCATAAAATATCTAGAAGAATATTCATTTTTCGATTATCTTACATTAATACTTTTATGTACAAAGGAATCAATTAGTGTAAAGAAAATACAGTTATTTTTAAGAAAAAATATGTAATTGTTAATTGCAAATTACATATTTTTTCTTCGAAACAACTATATGTTTTATTTACACCAATTGATTCTTCTCATTATTTTGTACATAAAAGTATTAAGGTAAGATAATCGAAAAATGAATATTCTTCTAGATATTTTATGGTTTATGTAAAATTAAGAAATGATTTCAAGTCCCATAATTCGGAAAGTACTCAATGAAAACTAACTTAATTATAATGTTTTGGAAAGCTCTCGAGTTAAGCTACAAGAATATGTAATAAAAAATAGGGAGTTCCATTTAAAAAATTTAAGATGACCTTCACGTGACCTTAACAACACTCTTCAAGGTCATAATAATATTACTGTGTAATGCGTCACTTAAAATCTTACAACTTTTGTCTGAAACATTTTTCCACAGGACCACTATTTTCGGGGATATTTGACCGTTTCTAGACTTTCCTAACACCCTGTATATGTATTTTTTTATCATAGTCTATTCGATTGTGGAAAAATAATAAATAACATGCAGATAGCATAGTCTTTTGCATTACTCTCACACTATGCGACATACGCATGCAATTAGTTAAGCATAGAATTAGAGTACAAAGCGATTCTATTACCCTCCACTTGGTGACATTGGAGTGCTGCATCTGGACAAGGCCTCTGGTTGATAGCAAGCTAAAGAGACTAATAGCTTCTCCGCAATATGGCTAGATTTGAATCTTAATTTATCGCCACCATTTTTACTTAGCTGATCCCACAGCCTAGTCCATAGATCGCTACGATAAGGAACGAGCCTTTGCTGCGGCGAGAGCAACATCACCGATGTGTTCCAGAGTTTCTCGTGGCTCAGCGTAATGTCCAAATCGTTCATTTTTATGTCAAACGTCATGTAATCCCCGATTGTAGTAACGGGCAACAGGGACAGCAACGGAATCGTATCAGCGAGGAGATTCTTTTGCACTAGAGCGTAAGAGCCGCCTATAAGAATCTCTTGCATAAAGCGCGGGATGTCCAGCGAGCGTGGCTTCTCCGCAACAATGGACATTAATTCCGCGATTACTTCCGTGTCGTTTTTATGACAGAGAAAATAATGGAGTATCCCCAGACGGATCTCGACCGAGATCTCCTTGCGAAAGACCTCGATGAGAAAGTCCGGGGGGATTGTCAACGGCACCAGATCCAGAGTGGGCAAGTCTATCGTCAGTACACTGCTAGAATTCGCGAGGGAACTACCGTCCGGATTGTAGGAATTCTTTCTCGTGCCTTTGCTGGTGTTATCCAGGTCGAGCAAGGGCACCAGATAGGAAACGCGAGACGGTATCGACGGCGGTGGGCCGCATAGTATGTGACAACAGGGCTCGTGGTTCACACCGATCTCGAGAAGATGGGCAAACAGCCCCGGCACGAACACTATCATATGATGGCCCTCGTAGATTGCGAAGGTCGGTCTCATCAGCTTGGCGCGCGACCACGTTATACCAGGTATAACACAGTGGATGACGCAGCTGCGATGTAAAAGCGTCACCGAGTATGCGAAGTGCACCGTGTTGGACTCGTTCAAGGAGTTAAGTACGTGCTGAGGTGGCTGAACGGGTCGGTAAAGGTAGTAGTGACAAACGCAAACCATCCCCTTGGTATCCGACACTACTATGAGATCTAGAGAACAATCGTGGACTCGTAGGGGTATTACGTCGTCCTCGTAAGTCCCGCAATTAGAGGACGGTGATAGTAGTGGTAAATTTAATGGGATATTCAGCTAAAAAGATACAACACAAATGTTACGCTAATACATAGTGTATCATGCACATTTTGCTACAAAGTTTAATTTAGTAGATACATACAGGGTGTTAGAAAAGTCCGGAAACGGTCAACTCCGAAAATAGTGGTCCTGTGGGAAAATGTTTCAGACAAAAGTTGTAGGGTTTCAAGTGACGCATTACACGGTAATATTACTATGACCTTGAAGAGTATTGTTAAGATCACGTGAAGGTCATCTTAAATTTCTTAAATGGAAGCCCCCATTTTTAATTACATATTCTTGTAACTTACCTCGAGAGCTTTTCAAAGCACTATAATAAAATATTTTTTCATTGAGTACTTTCCGAGTTATGAGACTCGAAATCATTTCTTAATTTTACATAAACCATAAAATATCTAGAAGAATATTCATTTTTCGATTATCTTACATTAATACTTTTATGTACAAAATAATGAGAGGAATCAATTGGTGTAAATAAAACATATAGTTGTTTCAAAGAAAAAATATGTAATTTGCAATTAACAATTACATATTTTTTCTTAAAAATAACTGTTTTCTTTACACTAATTGATTCCTCTCATTATTTTGTACATAAAAGTATTAAGGTAACATAATCAAAAAATGAATATTTTACAAGATATTTTACGGTTTATGTAAAATTAAGAAATGACTTCAAGTCCCATAATTCGGAAAGTACTCAATGAAAACTAACTTAATTATAGTGTTTTGGAAAGCTCTCGAGATAAGCTACAAGAATATGTAATAAAAAAATAAGGGGTTCTGTTTAAGAAATTAAAGGTAATCCTGACGTGACCTTAACAATACTCTTCAAGGTCATAGTAATATTACTGTGTAATGCGTCACTTAAAACCCTAGAACTTTTGTCTGAAACATTTTCCCATAGGACCACTATTTTCGGAGATAATTGACCGTTTCCGGACTTTTCTAACACCCTGTATGTGTTGTATATTAAATTTATTAGCATATTAATTGGCTTGTTTATATTAGCAATATACAGAGTGAGTCACTAGAAATTGTCTTTCAAAATATCCTCGTAAAAATTTTGTTTTGTGCAAAAACGTTTCAAATAAGAGTTAAATCCTTTTGAAAGGCTGCATTTGATTTTCTTAGCTTTTTTTTTAGGTCCAAAGAGCCATAAAGTTGTAAAACATCTCAAATTTTTTATATAATTAAATGAAAGGTTCTACTCTTAATTAGCTATAATTGTAGCATAAAAAACAAATGACTTTAAATCTAATGACTTTAAATACCTTGATCATGGGGGAGGCAGGAGGTGACTTTGAAATGAAAATCAGGAAAACAGGATGAGTAATAAAAATAATTTTTTGAACAAATTAAATTAATTTTATTTAATATCTTCTTTTATTTAAACTTCTACCTAGAAAAAGCTAAGCTAATCAAAATATAGCTCTTTCAAAATTAACTTCAAACTATTTAACACTTTTGTGTAAAATCAATATTTATTTAGTTATCTTAGAAAATAATTTCTAAGGACTCATCCTGTCCACAAAATGTTAGTATTGCAAAAGTACACAAGTTTAGAGAGATGGTTGAGATTCTTGTCACCGAAAAATACTCACCACTGTTTCATGAGGCAAGTCATCATGAAATTGAAGACCGCTAAGTGTCGGTTTTGAAGATTTGGAATTATTTTCATCATCATTCTCAGTAACTACACTCGCGGGTATTCGTCGATGATGTATATGATAAAGAACTTGATTAATCATATCCCATTGAGCCCATATAAAGGTTTTTACAAGTATTTCAGATTTTAATTCTTTTATCGGCCTTAAATCACTTTCAGATGTATCAAATTGAACAGTGTATATCATGACACCTGGAAAAGATACATAATATAAATTATAAAAATGTGTCAAGATAATTAATATAAAGTCAAGATAATTAATATAATAAGTAAAGATTTAATTAATATAATAAGTAAAGCAAAGATTTTTTTATTGATTTAAATATTTCATCTTCAAATTCTAATTTTCTATTTTTACAAGTGATTCCATATTTTAATCAAAGCTTATAAATGTAATTGCAATATAAGTTACTTTCAAATTTACTTACATTCATGATGTATTAGCACCAAAAATTTGTCTACATTGAGTTGCTCTTTTTCTCTATATAAAAATTGTATCCGCACTTGTTTAGATCTCTCTATCTCTAGATTATGCATTTTGTCATCATCAGTCGTCAATTCAATGATAAATACTCTATAAAGCTCTCTGCAAAGTTCATCGGTTGCATTAATGTTGTCTGAACAGCGATTTTCATTGGCATCTGCTGGCTCCAAGTGATTTTCTTTTTGCTTCGTTACATATCCTAATAAATTATGATTTTGATTGACTGTGGCTTGAACGATATTTAATACCTTTGGAAAGCAGTATAATACCTAAACGCACAATCAAAGTGATATTAAAAATATCTCTATATAATATGAATAAAGATTTCCTCATCATTCTTACTTGTAATTTATTGTTAATCTGGTCGTAACGGCCAATTACAGTACATAATGTATGTACATTGCCTTTTTCTGATTCCTCCACCCAACTGATAAGTATCGAACCATCTCTCTCCTGTCCCAGTAGCTTCCATTGTTCGGCTAGTAAAAAATAAAGAAAATTATTTCCTCTTCTGATGAATAATTTCGAAACAGCATAGTTATATGAAATCACCTATTGGGTTGTAATAAATACTTTCCTAACTTTTAAGCGTTGCCCAATATTCTCTCATACACATAATGTAATTATATTAATATATAAATATAATTATACAGGGTGTCCCAGACTTAACAAATCAGCCATTAATGGTAGATTCCTGAGGTCATTTGGAGACGATAATTCTAATACCAAAACGTTGAGGAAGACTTCATAAAAAACCTACTGACTATTATCGCATAGAAAATCGCGCAAAAAAATTGCAGAATCCTATTTTTTATCTTATATTGATCCCTCTATCGATATCGATATTATCGTGTTGTACGCGAACCTCTTATTACGCAATGTCCCTGAGTTAGAACAACGTAACGCGCCGATTGGTAATATTTAATCTTTTATAGCGTCGAAATTATACCTTCCTCAACATTTTGGTATCAAGATTTTCGTTTCCAAATGACCTCAGGAATCTACCATTAACGGCTGATTCGTTAAGTTTGGGACACCCTGTATGTATGTAATTTAATATTAGATAAAAATATTCTATATATTTTATAACAATAAATTACATACATCAATATTTTCTCGATGTTATACTTCTGCATGTTATACTCTCAATTTTTAATTAATATAAAACCACAATTCATTTGTAATCACCTGTATTGGCATTTTCCGACAGTAGCAAGCATAATTTTGCTGCGAGATTCTCTATCATATCTATTAGAAAAATTATATTTGTAGATAATACTTATGTCGCAACAATTTCCTTTCGATTGACGTTCCACTGCAGTTCTCCGGCCAGTAAAAATTACACATATATGGTAGTTTGACACTTCTGTGTTCTTGTCGTCTGCTGCTGTTAAAGTCCAACTTACAACGGACGCAGGGCCACCGCACAAGGTGTTCCATATAGGTGCGGCCTCATTGACGCTAAAAAGTAGCGTCAACCATTGGTTGAACAAAGAGGTAAGTATAGTTGCTTCATTGTTCAACCAATGGTTGACGCTACTTTTTAGCGTCAATGAGGCCGCATCTTATCGCATTACGTTACGTTAAGGCCCAGTTTCACAATCCAATTAATCCGGGTGGCACCCAATTGACCACGTCGCCAATTGGCCAATTCAAAATAGGACTCTCTGATTGGTTAATCGTTGCTGGTTACCCTAGGCACAAGTCGATATAATTGGCTGTGGTCAATCGCAACGTAGTCAAATGGGACGCTCCCATACAATCCTAATGATCCCAGTGAGAGAAACGAAACGCAGCACTGGGAGTTTTCAATACTGCCAACTTTATCTTTTTTCCCAACACCGACCAAACATATTTTTGAACGCAAAGGTTTTCTGTAGACATGAAAATATATAATATTGGCAACAGTGCGTATCACATGTGTGAATGTGTCAACAATTGTCAAACTATAAAATGTTATGTGATATATTATACGTTTATATAAATATGTTTGTAGAATATGTTTATAAAAGGTTCAGAATAGTATATTTAATGAGGTAGAAGAGGTATATTTAATGTAAGTATTTTTGGACATTCATGCATTCCATTAAATCGAAGATATCTATTCAAAGATGCTTTTTCCAGATCACAATCTTATCTATGCGTAAATATTATTGCGCGGGTATTCCCGTGTAAATCTGGCTCAAAGGTCTAAATTTGCTTATCTCAAGGGGCTTTCGTTGACAGACACGATGCTCGAGAAATACGATATACTTCGTCAAGAATTTCTCAGCAAAGCTGAGCTGTTCATTAACAGCGGAACTTTGGACGAATTGAAACTTTATTACAAACACAAAATTGAATCCAAACGTAAATTAAGCAAGGTGACAGATCTGCAAACGTTAATAAGGCTGCTGGAAAAACGGGGTATTGTCAGTTATGATCAAATAGAGCCATTGCGATACATATCGAAGAAATTTGTTGCTGATCCAAACTTGGAAAGCAAGCTGCAAGATTATGAAAATTTCGTAAAGAATATGCCACAATTGTATTTGTGTAATATGTATCAAAGTGACGAAGGTGAATGTTTTTTTAGATTTATGGACTCGATTTATTTTATTTGACAAACTTGTACCAGAATGACAAAGCAGTTTCAGGGGATTAGAATTTTTTACATAATTTTATATAAAATTAATTTGAGAATTTACACTATTTTCTATTTAATTAATTTCTATTTAAGTAATTTTTATTTAAATAGAAATGTTTATTTAATTTCTATTTAAATAATTTTGATTTAAAAATTTGTTAAGAAAATAGTGTAATTTGGAACTAAAAATTGAAGATTGTTTTAAAAATATTAATTTTTACTTCGAATTTTATTATTGATGCGATATTAAATTATAGTAATTTTTATTTTTACAACAGTTCCGACATCCTCAATCTCAGAATCTCCATCTAGTTCTAATTTATCTCAGTCTACGCTAGAAAGTTCAGCTGAATCATTTAGTCATACTACACAAACATTATGTTTTGAGCAAGAGGAAAGAAACAATCTCAATGACAGGAGAAAATTGCTACAACAAACAGGTATTTTTAAAGTTCCACGTTGAAGTTATGTTTCTATTTTTTTTTTTATTTTTTCACATGTATGTTTACAATATCTACAATATATATTTTTTTCTTTTAAAGTATTATTACAATTGAAGGATAGATTAGGTCGCTCCTGGAGAGATGTAGCTAGACATTTAAATATTAGAGAATGTGAAATCGATGCTATACAAAGCAAATATCCTTTTGATTTGAAGGAGCAATCTTATCAGGTAAAATTGTGTGTGTGTATATGTATAAGTACATGCTTTAAAATGTAATTTTTGTTGTAGATTTTGCGAATGTACATATCACAATCGAATACCGAGCAATGGGCAATAAATTTAATACGTGCTTTAGAAAAAGGAAGACGCAAAGATCTTAAAGAACTTGTAGAAGAATTAGTATTGAGATAAAAATTTATGATATACAGAATCTGGACAATTCCGTTCATAGGGGTTTTTTTTTTTTTTTAATTGTGTAGGAAAAGATAGATATTTGATATTTAAACTATCCATTGTTAAATAGTTTAGTTGTTAAATATTTTTATATATTTGCACATAGTTTAATGTACATGGTCAATTTTTAACCCTTGCCTAGCTAAATATCAATCGTTAAAATGTATTATAATATATCAAGAAAAAAAAATAATTATTTTACACAGCAAAAATGGATTTTAATAAATCAAATATTCGCTAGGCAAGGATTAATAAAGTGTATATTAGAAAAATATTACAAATTACAAGAATTTATTTGCTGAAAGATAAAGTTGTGTAAATTACACCTAACCATGTGATTTTATGATCACATGCAGGTTATCAGCCACAGGAAAATACAGCAGCCTGCGCGTACTTTCTAAACTAGATCTAAATTACACATACTGATCTCTTTGCTAAACAAATGTTTATATCGACATTCTTTCATCTACTTTGAATTTAATTTTAATTAATCTCAATTACTTGAATTACTTGAAACATATATTTATTAATTTTTACTCAATTTTCCTCATCATATGAAAACATGACTACAATGATGACATAACATGCTTTCGAAAATAAAGTTTAGTTTTTTGCAATATAATTTAACGAGATGCTTTCACTCACAATTATATTATTAATATTTCATTCAGCAATTTTTTTTTTTTTTTAAATAATTTTATCAATAATTCATCTAGTAATTTTAGAAATTAATATCTTAATGAACAACTTAAGGGTGACAATAAATTTAGTGATATTTTTAAAGTGTATATGTATTTCTTGTTTGACTGCCAGCTTTGATCATAGTATCTTTATGCACTTGATATCCCATAGTCGTTTTAGACGTGATCCTTAATCTTTCCTTCAGTTTACGACTGAAATCAAAATAATCTGTTAACAAGGATGTCGACAAAAAATTTATTAAAACAGTTGCAGTAAAAGGAATTTAATTTTGTACCCAATTTCCATAACACTATCCGCGCTATCCGCATTTGACGTCCAAATACCAAGTTTGTCTCCCTTTGGCCTCACGTTCACTACAGCCCCGCACACATCGTCAGAATATTCGTTGAACGCTTCTCCAATCATACAAAGCAAAATTTCTAACCAAAAATTGTCTAGATCTGTAGTTCTTTGCCTCTTATCTAGATTTATTAGCCATCGCCCGCCGCATTTGTTCTGATCGTCTTCCCACATAGGCCGGATTCCCTGCTTGAACATGCTATAGTCGCAGCCCTGTCTCAGCTCGGAGGCTGTCTTTATGTGGTTGTACAAGCTGTCGATGAGAAAAAATTTTTCTTGGTCAATTCACACGTCCTACAATATATATATAAAATATCGACGTATCTCGTATATCTCAAAAAAAGATAAAAAAGGATGGACCTCCAGAAATCCTCGGCCGTATCGAAACTAGTTATCTCCCGTTGGCTCTCCTCCCACGATTTATTCTTATCGGGCTCATAGTACCACAGGGTCCAGGTGTTTTGCAGCGGATGCTTGATCAGATATTCAGGCGGAAACTCGCCGGTATTTGTCACCTCGGTGTTTTGCTTGCGATCGATTTCCTGGAAAATGATTTATCTTCGTTTATCCCATTATATGCCATTAATTAATATATAATTATTATAATTATAATATAATATATTATAATATATAATTAATATTATAATATTAATATTATATTATTAATATTATAATATTAATATTATTATTATTAAATTATTATTAATATTATTATTATTATTATTATATTATTAATTAATATATTATAAATATTAATAATATATTATTATTTATATTAATATTATTATATTAATATTAATATTATTATTATTATTATTATTATTATCCTATTAATTAATAATATTGTTATATTAATATTAATATTATTATTATTATTATTATTATTATTATCCTATTAATGAATAATATTGTTATATTAATATTAATACTATTATTATTAATATTAATATAATTATCATGCTATTAATTAATACTATAAATATTAATAATATTATTATTATGCTATTAATGTTATTATATCGATAGGATCGGATTATTCGCTTGTGTCGGCCCGCGAAACGGACGACCTTATGACCCGATGATACACGTTAACCTGTGCGATCGCTCTGTACCGTGTACATTTTTTCGCGGACGTGAATCCCCCTCGAAAATTCTCGCGTTATGTCCGCGATAATTGGGCGGACTATTCGTGGAATAATAAACGACTGTCGAGACAACCGGTCTAACAGCGTTCGTAGCTTGCGGCTTTAGGACATTTCCCAAGCAAGGAATATTCGGTAACGTGGGACCAGGGGGGTGGGAGGACGCGGAGGGAAGGATATGGAAAACTCCGGAAGAGAGAGAGAGAGAGTGTCCTGATGGTGGATCCGGGACGTCGGGAAATCGTCGCCTCCGTCGAGATCCGCGAATTTCTCGGGTCCCCGCGCGCGAGATCGTCCGGCGATTTCCATCCTCGCGCTGCAATTACCTCGATTTCCTCGGAAATACTCGTAGCCATGTCACTTCAATATGCACACACGCTCTGTGGAAGCCGCGAACTGGCAGCAGCAGGCACATCTGTGTCCGATTTCGCAATATTTCCCCATAGACGATGTGAAGAGATAGATGGCCGACTTCGCCATACTTCACTTTGGAGTAGTTTTATTTTCTCTGGCGAATAATTTTTCAGCGGGAATTAATTTTGCATTTGTTAATTGCGTTTGTCAATTCATAAATTTTTTGTGTTTATGTAAAGATATTTTTCGCACAGCGTAGAATATTGCGGTAATATTGTTATTATTGTTGTAACATTGCAGCAACATTGCAATATTACCGTAATATTAAGGCGATATTATTATTGTTGCAACATTGCAGCAACATTGCAATATTACCGCAATATTGCGGCAATATTATTATTATTGTTGCAACAACATTGCAATATTACCGCAATATTGCTGCAATATTCTGTGCTGTATGGATTCTTTATATTTTCCTAAATTTATTTATTTAATTGTAAAATTATTTTATACATAAAAATCTTTAACATGTATTTTTCGGAAATTTGTTTATTATTTAATTAAATTCGAAAAGAGAATCGTATTTAGCTTTATAACAAATTTTAAATATAAATATTCCCGAATATTTATTTTATTATGCGTCTACAATGAGATTTTAAGGAGACTTAAAGCGTAAGACTTAAGAAATTGACCAATCACAATCAAATATTCTCTTAATACTTGACTGTGATTGATTAATTTCTTAAGTCTTAGGTCTCCTTAAAATCTCATTGTAGACGCCGCTTTATAAGTATCTTGTTTAGTTTTTTCTTTCTGTTAGGCCGAGTCTATAATAGGTAATTTAAGCCTTGAGAGATTGACCAATCACAGCCGAGTATTCTCTTCATACTGACTGTGATTGGTCAATCTCTTAAGGCTTAAATTACCTATTAGGCCGGGTCTACAATAATTTATTATTACAATAATAACGCATTACTAGTGCGTTCGAAAATATGTTTAGTCGGTGTTGGGAAAAAAGATAAAGTTGGCAGTATTGAAAACTCCCAGTGCTGCGTTTTGTTTCTCCCACTGGGATCACTAGGATTAAAAAAATTTGTTACTTGAGATACTAAGGCCGGTATTCATAGTTCGATCTTATATTTGAGATCGTCTTAAGTTCGAGCTTAAAATGCTACGCAGCTATTTGATTGGTTGAATGAGGTCTTAAGTCAACCTCGGACCAGACTTAAGACGATCTTAAATATAAGATCGGACTATGAATACCGGCCTATGATACGTGTCGGTAACGTTAATCTCGAACGCGATAATATCGCGCGGAATTGACGCCAGATGTCGCGGCGCGTCAGCCAATAAACGCGAATCTCTCCTCCTCCCTGCGGTCGACCCGGGCTTGACGGCGCCACGGGCGAGCCGGATTCTCCGTCGCCGATCCATTCCGTCTGCCCCAGCCACGCTTCACGGTCATTGATGAGATAGTCGTCTGCGAGCCGCGGGACGCGGTGAAACGTTAGGATAGATCGGTGTCGTGCGTGGGCCGCTTAGGCCGAAAATGGCGGAACGGACCAAGGTGACTGCTCCGGCCACCCGGCCCGTGCCCATGAAGCTGTTCGCCACCTGGGAGGTGGATCGCACCCCTCCGAATTGCATACCCAGGTAATCAATTTGCGACTCGGTCGCGGCCAACCGCTTATTATTCATCGCGGTCGCGATTCGCTCAACGCTTATGCGTGGACGCCTTCTTTTCTCTCCTCGGATATTTCGCGAATTTTTGTTATATTTCCCGAATTGAAACGACGGAGAGGAAGATCCGCGATCGTCGATTGTTTCGCCTTCGATGCCGCTCGCGGAAGATCGCGATAGGCGCTATTTATTGTTATATACCGCTCCGATATATCGACGAGTGACACTTGGAGGTGTGTCAATACGAGAAGTTCATGCGGGGCAAACTATTTCTTGTTATGCACTTGCGAATATCGATGGCTGATTAAGAGACGCGTTAGGGAACAATGGAATATTAACAATATTCTAATTTGAGTTTCTTGTCTTGAAATCGAAATTGAAATTAGAATTATAATGCGAGGAGAGAGATGAGATTAATATTTTCTAAAATTTACATTTAATTTTGACATTAGTCAACGTGTTTTATTTTTTTATCTTATTTTTATACAAGTAATAAAAATAAATTAAACATTATACAAGTAATAAATTAAAAATTATACAAGTAATAAAAATAAATTAATGATATAAATAAATATAAACAAAATTTCTGTCGGTATTTAATTTTCAAACATGAAACACGTTTAAATTTTCTTCAAAGTAATTGCATATATATTTTTCAAAAATTATATCAATAAATAGAAAATAAAAACGAACTTGTGATTAAAGTTTTTTGTATTATATGTAACTTTTAATAGATTAATATAATAAATATTTTCACAACATATTTAATACTATATTTTCTATTTAGATCATTTACTACCATTCTTTCGTTCAAGATTTAAATTTCTTAGGTAGTTTTATAAAGTAGTTATAATTAATTATTTTTTTAATTTTAATTCATATTTATTTTTTTTGAAAAATATTTAGATGAGATGAAAAGAAACTTAGACACTGCATTATCTACATTTAATAGTCAACGTGTTTTATTTTTTTATTTTATTTTTATACAAGTAATGAAAATAAATAAATATAAACAAAATTTCTGTCGGTATTTAATTTTCAAACATGAAACACGTTTAAATTTTCTTCAAAATAATTGCATATATATTTTCGAAAAATTATATCAATAAATAGAAAATAAAAAGAAACTTGTGATTAAAGTTTTTTGTATTATATGTAACTTTTAATAGTTTAATATAATAAATATTTTCACAACATATTTAATACTATTTATTTTCTATTTAGATTATTTATTATATTCTTTCGTTCAAGATTTAAATTTCTTAGGTAGTTTTATAAAGTAATTATAATTAATTACTTTTTTAATTTTAATTCATATTTTTTTTTCGAAAAATATTTAGATGAGATGAAAAGAAACTTAGCTACACTGCATTATCTACATTTATAATAGTCAACGTATTTTATTTTTTTATCTTATTTTTATACACGTAATGAAAATAAATAAATGATGTAAATAAACAAAATTTCTTTCCGTATTTAATTTTCAAACATGAAATACATTTAAATTTTCTTCAAAATAATTGCATATATATTTTCCAAAAATTATATCAATAAATAGAAAATAAAAACAAACTTGATTAAAGTTTTTTATATTATATGTAACTTTTAATATATTAATATAATAAATATTTTCACAACATATTTAATACTATTTATTTTCTATTTAGATTATTTATTACCATTCTTTCGTTCAAGATTTAAATTTCTTAGGTAGTTTTATAAAGTAGTTATAATTAATTGCTTTTTTAATTTTAATTCATATTTATTTTTTTCGAAAAATATTTAGATGAGATGAAAAGAAACTTAGCCACACTGCATTTATCGAATAATTTATTCTAAGAAGCAGTAGGAGAGCGTTTTTTTTAGCGTCAGAAAACAATATGTGTTAATATATATTAATCAATATATATTAATAATTTTCGAAAAATACAACAACACTATAACAACATATATTAATATATATATATATATATATATATATATATTAATAATTAATAAATAAAAAATATTCTAAACAATTATTCTAAACAAAATTCTGGGACTTTTCAAGTCGAATTGAAATTAGAATTAATACGGTGAAAAGAAAGATGAAATTAATATAAACATTTAATTCTATATTAATATTCAATGGATTTTATTGAAATATTAGAATATTATTTTTATATAAATAATAAAAAAGAAATAATGTAAATGAAACATTTAAATTTTCTTAAAAATAATTATCTATATTTCGAAAATTATAATAATAAATAAATAATAAAAACAATATATTTATGATGTAATTAAACTAAATTTTTTCGTATTTTATTTGTAACCTGTAGATTAATATGATAAATGTTTCCAACGTGTTTAATACTGTATTTTCTATTCAAATCATTTATCATCTTTTGTACAAGATTTAAATTTCTTATATTAGTTCTATTATAAAAATAATCTTTTTTTAGTTTTAATGTAATTCACGTTTCCTTGAAAAATATCTAAAAAATGAGGGCAAAAAAACTTAGTCATAGCTCATTTACTGAATAATTTATTCTAAGAAGCAATAGGAGATCAAGGAATTTTTTAGCGTCTGAAAAATACTTAACAGACATGTATCAATCATTTTATTTGTCATACGACTTACAGTTAGTTACTATTCCTAATGTTCTTATCGTTAACGATAAGAACGTTAAGCTACGAAAATGTAGACTGTTTTTAAATTTACGGCATAAAATCGAAGAACATTATGCGACTGAACATTATGCGAATAAACATCTATCTAGTATTTTTTTTTAGACACAGATCTATGATCGATGAAAATTGCGGACGCCTTTTTTTTTGTTAAATATCGATTTAGAATCGATCGCAAATTATGAAAAAAAATACTGCCCGTGTATATTTTTATTTTTCGATTGCAAAAATTGCATTGGCATGAAATACGATTATTGTATTTTTGACTCTCGATTGCGCTGCCAAACTACTAGTTTGGCAACACGTGTGTTTGGCAAAAGGAAATAGTTAGTTCGGTATAAATTCGGACGCAAAGTAGCCGTAACGCTACATAGTTGATATTGATGCTGGTTAATATTGTGGTTGACGCTACGATGCTGTCGATTTTCAAGAAGTTACTAAAAATAGATTTTTCCGAAATGCTTTAGAAACATGTTGCAAGCAGAATATCCTGTAAATATAGCGGATTATCGACGATATTTTGTAACCGAAAGAGCACCCGATGAACTATCACACATGGATCTTCACGAGTTTATATTTAAATTTAAATTTAAATTAATTTATTAAGATAAATTTAATAATTATGTCGTCTATTTTTAATCACAAGAAATTTAAATATTCCTACATTTTTTGGCTGTCGAAGCATTTGATTTTGAATGAATGTATGTGGGCTTTTTATTGTTTATTTTATCCTATAGCGCTCCAACGATGGATTTTCCTTTTTTTACATTTTGACTAAATTTATACTTACTTTTCTGCGACATACGAATAATATTGTTAAAGGAATACAGATTATTTTAATATGTTGATTTTGTTATTTTTCATACTGAGGAAGACTAAGTAAAGTCGAAACGTTTGTGATTATTGAATTAAATGAACTTATTAATATTGGTTTTATTTCATTTTTTATTATTGGCCCTAGAATTTAAATTAATTTATTAAATAATAAATTTAATAATTATGTCGTCTATTTTTAATCACAAGAAATTTAAATATTCCTACATTTTTTGGCTGTCGAAGCATTTGATTTTGAATGAATGTATGTGGGCTTTTTATTGTTTATTTTATCCTATAGCGCTCCAACGATGGATTTTCCTTTTTTTACATTTTGACTAAATTTATACTTACTTTTCTGCGACATACGAATAATATTGTTAAAGGAATACAGATGATTTTAATATGTTGATTTTGTTATTCTTCATGAGGAAGACTAAGTAAAGTCGAAACGTTTGTGATTATTGAATTAAATGAACTTATTAATATTGGTTTTATTTTATTTTTTATTATTGGCCCTAGAATTTAAATTAATTTATTAAGATAAATTTAATAATTATGTCGTCTATTTTTAATCACAAGAAATTTAAATATTCCTACATTTTTTGGCTGTCGAAGCATTTGATTTTGTATGAATGTATGTGGGTTTTTTATTGTTTATTTTATTCTATAGCTCTCCAACGATGGATTTTCCTTTTTTTACATTTTGACTAAATTTATACTTACTTTTCTGCGACATATATTGCGAATAATATTGTTAAAGGAATACAGATGATTTTAATATGTTGATTTTGTTATTCTTCATACAGAGGAAGACTAAGTAAAGTCGAAACGTTTGATTATTGAATTAAATGAACTTATTAATATTGGTTTTATTTTATTTAGACCTTAGTAATTAGCTCGTATTATTGGCCCTAGAATTTTTATTATTCCTACATTTGTTTCTTTTTAATAATTAAATAATTATAAAATAATAATTTTGTTTCTATGGATCGATCATATCTTTAAAAGAGTGTCGTTTCTATCGGAAATAATGTGTTTTCTTTTCTTTATTTTTTAATAATTCACTGTAGCGAATTTTATTATTATCAAAATTTGATTATTCGTGTAATTTGGATCGTCCGAACATTATTTCATCGCTCGTTGTTTCAGAAAACGTTTAGCTGAATTTAATTTAAGTCTATCACGAATCCGCTAATGTCAGATCAAATCGTGCAAATTGGCCTCGAGCCTCGTCATCCTTCACATGTAAAATAAATGAGAACCTGTACCACCTGTAGTTCTACCCTCTGCATCTATATTTAGTATTCGCCTCCCCTTTCTCAACCACGGAAAGCTTTTTCATAAATAACGATGACCGCCCGCTCCTCCCCGCGCTTCTCGCAATAAGGGTTTCGTCGACGATGCTTCCACGTGGTATAGGTTCTATCATCGAGAAGTAAATTATGTACGAGGAGTGTCTGGAGAGAGAGTAAAGACCGATTGGCCGT